TATTAAGCCATGAAATCGCTTTGGGCTGCAATGTGTTTGTATTATAGGTGATAATCAAAATGACTTTTATGATTAATACAATTATGGGATAAAATACTGAGCATCCTCATTCATTTAAGACTAAAACGACAAAAAGTACATTTGTATTTAACTCCATATCAGTCATCACCAAATGGAAATAAAATTGGATATATAAATATGTTATATTGAAGCAAAGTAAACACACAGCTTAAAATTCCCAAGGTGCACTTTTAAAAATAAAGTTCTCTAACCAACCAATGCATACAAATTCGATCACATTTGCTTTCAAATGGTGTGAAGAATAGAGCAGATATATTCTATTCCCCCTGTTTAGACACAAACAAGAACAGCTTTTTCTACATTTGCTTTTCTGCTTGATTTATTGCCAGCCTCCTTTCCAGCAATCTATTGGGCTGTGTTGAGGAGGTGGTTAGGTTTTCCTCTGTTAGTAAGGCCTGCTGGTAGAGAGTAGCAGTGCTGCACCCTGCTGGTGATGAACAGGACTGCATGGCTGAGAGGGCGAAGAGGTGCACTATACACCCATGTACACACACACAAACCAAAGATAACCTGAGACATGCAGTTAGCTTTCTTCCTAAAATGATTCTAATAGCCACAATATAAAATGTAACATAGTATTGTGGCTAATACCACCACACAATATAAACATGATACCATGTAAGATCATTACTTCAAGGCTGAACCCTGACCTCCAGGGAGAGCCCCTCATTCGTGTGCTGGTGCCCAGGCAGTCCTAGTGGAGGTCACCTCCATCACAGTAACATTAATGCAGAGTGACCTCCACAATGAGCTCTCAGTGTGTGTATCCCCTCACATCCATCCCTCTCATCCCTCCTGTGTGCGTTCGTGTCAACACTGGTCTGTGTGCGTTCGTGTCAACACTGGTCTGTGTGTGTGAGTGTGCACTAGTAGTTGTGCAGCATCAATATAACCCCACCTATGAGACACCACTTTGGTATTTTCAGATCTGAAGAAAACCGTGGATGGCTCCACCTAACCTAACTTCCAGTACACCTATCTGACTCCTTCAGATGTGCAGAAGGGGAGGCTGCTAGCCCAGGGGTCGTCTTTGGACCAGGTCCATGTCATCATTGTGAGACCAGAGGAGAGCGTGACGTCATTAAAGGACAGTGAGGAGAGTGTAGCTTCCTCCCCAGCCGTCAGCCAGGCAGCAGAGAGAGATTGATAGCCCAGAGTCATTTGTCCTATTGGTTATTCTAAATGAAGTATGGGCTTATTGGATGCAGGCAGGCCTCTCCCACCGGCTAACATTGATTTCCACTCACTCTCCTCTCCTCCACTCCTCCTCTCCTCCCTGTAACCTTGTGCTAGTGTCTCATTCCTCCTCTCCCCTTTATTTTTCCTTCTCTCCATCTCCCCCTTTGCTTTTCCATCCCCTTCTGTTTCTTCCCCCCGTCCTCCCTCTCTCCCCCTAAGATCCCTTACTCATCCACACCCTATTTCCCTCCCTGTTACTCACCCTCTCTCTCAAACCGAAAGAGAGAAAGAGAGGGAGAGAGAGACAGACATTCAGACAGTTGGATAGACAGACAGGGAGGTAGGGACAAAGAGGAAGTGAAAGAGAGACAGGTGAGGAAACGGAGAGAGAGAGCGGGAGAGAGATAGATGGAGGGGTAATTATCCGTCAGGTGTGTGTGTGCGTGACGGAGAAGGAAGCTCATTAGCACACCCTGTGTACACCAATTACACAGCAAGACTTCACACACCGTTCTCTAGGCATTCCCCTGGCACAGCAGTCTCAGGCAGGGACACACAGATATAGTCAAACACATACATGCAAAGCAGAGCCGAAAAAACAAACACACACGTTTGTTTTACTATCCTTGTGGGGACCAAACAATTTATTCCCATTCAAAATGCCAACCCCTAACCTAAAATAGCCTAAAAAAAAACACACACACACCTGTGGACGTTGTCTTGACCGGATGGAACCACTCCCAGGTTGGCCACGGTTGCCACCGGTCTGCTGATTGGTTGGCTGGTCATGTTCTCTGCTGCCATGGTGATGGTTGCCGAGCTCTCGTTCATGCCCAGCAGTTTACCTGATTGGGTGAGAAACAGTTTAGTGAAATGATGCACTCACATCACATCTAGAGGTTGCTTTGCAGGTGCGCTGGAGAATAATATTCATTGACTGCACTCAACACCCGGTGACACACAGCCAGCACACTCTCCTCATTCTGACAGATGACAGGAAATGAACATAGTGCTTGAGAGCTTGACTGTGCGGAAGATGAATAAAGAAAGGGCACCCAACACGCCAAAAATGGTTTTTAATGAGGACTGGAGTGAATGGGGGAAGGAGGGAAGGAGGGATGGAGGCAGGTTAGAGTGAGTGGGGTGTGTGTGTGTGGTGGGGGGCACAAGTTACCCAAGGGACACTACTCCATTTAGGTCAAAATAACAAATCTGTTTCTAAAGACCACCTGACGAGTAGTAAAGTTGTTCAGTTTAAAGAATCTTCTTTAAAAGAGGGGGTGGGTTAAATCTAGCTTTTGTCTCCTCTTCTCTCTGATTGCTGTGAGGAGTAGAGATCAGAATATGAATCTAGTGAATGAAGATTAATTAATTAATTAACAACACGAGGAAGGCATTTAGTAGGCACTTAGAGAAGAGTGGTGGCCTACACACCACATTCTCTCAAAAGCTCTCCTAGGCGTGTGAGTGCATGTGGACAAGATATTCAGCCACTCTTGGAGGACCATTGAAGTTGAATGGAAAATGCATTTTTATTATGACGCATTTTTGCATTAAAGCCTCCATAGAAAGCTGGCCTGTATTATTGGCATCACTTATGAAGCCATTAACAACAAACTGCCTTTGTTTCTGCTTTGATTGGTCTGACTACAGCACACATCTCAGTAGCACTTTCTTTAACTGTTACTTATCCTAAACACCATGAAATACCTAGTGATTGGTCATGTTGATGATAATGTAGATAATGTTTAGTGTGATTGTGTAAGATAATGATTATGATATTATTTTTGTAGTTAACGCTGTATGAAAGCTCACCTTGCTCCTTGTGGAAGTCCAGTTCGGTCATGGTGATGGGCAGGAAGAGTTCTCCTACGGCAGGCTGGATGGACACACTGAAATGGTCCTCCTTCGTACTGATGGACAAACAGGACAACAGTGAGTGTCACAGGACCACAACTATGTTACTGTGTTATGTTTCTGTCCGTGTGTATGATAGTATTGTAGTGTTTTGCGATCACATACCTAATAACAAAATCAAGCTACCAGTAATGCTCAACAAATTTGAAATTAGTGGTGTGTGTATGTGACATTTTCTCTGTTCTGATTGCCATACAGAACAAACTGGGTGATTGGCATTTTGGGGTGGATTGTATTCGCTCTGTCCCAAAAAGGATTTCTGATCAGCCTATTGATCAGCGAGCAGAGCAGAGAGGTGCCAATAGCCTGAGGGCCTGCTGTTCTGGTCTGCTCTGGTTTGGGAAGTCAGAACAGAGCAGAGTTCATTACAGAGGAGGATAATTGTTATCTCTGTGAAACAGGATCAATGGTGGCTGACGCCTCACCTGGGAGTCGGAGAGGAGAGGAGAGGAGGAAGTGGTGGGGTAGAGAAGAGATAATGGACAGAAAAGGGGAGTTTTCTTCTACAGCTAGAAGAAAAGCAGGTTAGGGAGAGGAGGAGGAAGAAGAAGAAGATGGCCATAGTTGTTTCAGCCTCACTGTATATAATGACTAGAGGACAGGGTATCTTACCACAGCTGGAAGTTGGCTGCTTGTGTTGAGTCGTTGAAGTCGATGCCCATGGAAACAGTCACTGAGGCCTCCGGCTCCAAACACTCTGAGAACGGAGAGGAGGAGGAGAAGAAGAGAGGAGTGAGTGACAAGGGCAGAGGGGGAGGGAGGGGGCAGAAGAAGTGAGAGAAGAGGAGGAGAGGAAGAAAGGAGTGAGTGACAAGGGCAGAGAGCAAGGGAGGGTGCAAACGAAGAAGAGAGAGATGGAAGAGGGAAGAGAGGAGGAGGAGAGGAAGAGTGAGTGACAAGGGCAGAGGGGGCGATGAGGGGGGCAGAAGTGAGGAGAGGAATATGAGGGCATTAGAGTGGAACAGACAGGCATGCAGACAAGACACTACTTGTGTTTTCTACTTCACAACGGCAAGGCCACCCGGTGTGAACAAATACCATTCTTTCAATCTCCATGCCTCCGCAACCAATGATGTGAAAAAAAAAATAATAATAGCGTATTTCCAAAACAACAGGTTTGTCAAAGAGAATGTCAGGGTCTGAAGAGAGAGTGAAGGAGAGGAAAGAAGAGCGAGAAAGAGAGAAGGATATGTATAAAGTAGGACAAGAGAGAGGGATGAGAGAGATATGAGGAAGGAAGATGGAGAGAAAGACATGAAGCAAAGAGAGATATGTGAGTAGAGAAAGTCTCTCTTCTCTCTCTCTCTCTGCTCTCTCGATCTATCTATCTCTCTCTCTCCTCGCATCTCGCTCTCCTATCGATCGATAGAGATCTCTCTCGCTCTCTATTCTCTCTCTCGTCGATCTCTCTCTTCTTCTTCTCTCTCTCTCTCTCTCTCCTCTCAGACTGAAGCAGGTTTCCCTCAACACTTTCCCTGTATTTAGCGCCATCCATCATTCCTTCAATTCTGACCAGTTTCCCAGTCCCTGCAGATGAAAAACATCCCCAACAGCATGATGATGCTGCCACCACCATGCTTCACTGTGGGGATGGTGTTCTCGGGGTGATGAGAGGTGTTGGGTTTGTGCCAGACATAGCGTTTTCCTTGATGGCCAAAAAGCTCAATTTTAGTCTCATCTGACCAGAGTACCTTCTTCCATATGTTTGGGGAGTCTCTCACATGCCTTTTGGCGAACACCAAATGTGTTTGCAGATTTTTTTTTTTTTAAGCAATGGCTTTTTTCTGGCACTCTTCCGTAAAGCCCAGCTCTGTGGAGTGTACGGCTTAAAGTGGTCCTATGGACAGATACTCTAATCTCCGCTGTGGAGCTTTGCAGCTCTTTCAGGGTTATCTTTGGTCTCTTTGTTGCCTCTCTGATTAATGCCCTCCTTGCCTGGTCCGTGAGTTTTGGTGGGCGGCCCTCTCTTGGCAGGTTTATTGTGGTGCCATATTCTTTCCATTTTTTTATAATGGATTTAATGGTGCTCCGTGGGATGTTCAAAGTTTGAGATCTTTTTATAACACAACCCTGATCTGTACTTCTCCACAACTTTGTCCCTGACCTGTTTGGAGAGCTCCTTGGTCTTCATGGTGCCGCTTGCTTGGTGGTGCCCCTTGCTTAGTGGTGTTGGAGACTCTTTCAGAACAGGTGTATATATACTGAGATCACGTGACAGATCATGTGACACTTAGATTGCACACAGGTGGACTTTATTTAACTAATTATGTGACTTCTGAAGGTAATTGGTTGCACCAGATCTTATTTAGGGGCTTCATAGCAAAGGGGGTGAATACATCTGCACGCACCACTTTTCCGTTATTAATTTTTTTAGAATGTTGTAATTTTTTTCATTTCACTTCACCAATTTGGACTAGTTTGTGTATGTCCATTACATGAAATCCAAAGAAAAAATCCATTTAAATTACAGGTTGTAATGCAACAAAATAGGAAAAACGCCAAGGGGGATGAATACTTTTGCAAGGCACTGTACATGTAGATGCAAGTGTAGAAGCGCCAGATATGTTGAAACACATTGTGGGCCATGCTGCTGTAGGAACAGTGCTCTGTATCAATTCTTTATGAGGTAAAGAAAGACACTGTGATAGAGTAAGGTATTTCTTCCGCATTCACTTTCTCCTGCTCAATATGAAAACCGACTCTACACACACACATGCTCCAAACTCAATCGATCCCAATTACCCAGTGTTTGGCAGCCTGAGTTCCTTCAATGCCCAATCAATCCACAGCCAATTGAAGCTTTTAACAATGCTTGAGCGCACCTCTGTATATTTTTTAAATCTCTTCTTTTGCTTTTCTTTGAGGTCTGCAGGGAGAGTTGGGCTCAGAGGTGTGTGTGTGTTATGAATGGAGATATTCATAATCATTATGGTCTCCCAGGGATTATGTGGATTAATATGCCCAATCTCAGCTATAGAAGATTATAATAGAAAACAAGGTATTGATGGTTTCCTATCATATAGGCTTATAGTCCTCCATGGTATAATGATCTACTAATGCAGGCACTGGAATGACCAGCAGAGCACCTATTTTAAAACGACATGGAACATAAGAGGCCTCATATAGATTTGTAAGAACACATATTGAGGGTCATACCTGTATGTGCAAATTAAAATCATTAGGTCCTGGATGGCAGTGTAATGTAGGGTCGTTTTCAAGGCCTTTCCCTCGATATGACATCATTCATAACCTGGATGATGTTTCTCGCTCTCTTGCTCTGGTGGGAGGGGCTATAGGAGGACGGGCTCATTGTAATGGCGTGAATGGAATTAATGCAACGGAGTCAAATATGTGGTTTCCATATGTTTGATATCGTTCCAGATATTCCATTCCAGCCATTACAATGAGCTTGTCCTATATACACTGAGTGTACAAAACATTAAGAACTCCGTCGTAATATTGAGTTACATCTACACTGATTGAAGTGGATTTAACAAGTGACATCAAAAAGGGATCATAGCTTTCACCTGGATTCACCTGGTCAGTCTATGTCATGGAAAGAGCAGGTGTTCTTAATGTTTTTTACACTCAGAGTACACCCTTGACTCTTTCCACATTTTGTTGTGTTACAAAGTGGGATTAAAATGGATTTAAGTGTCATTTTTGTAATCAACGATATACACAAAATGTCATGTCAAAGTCGAAGGAATATTTTAACATTTGTAAAAGAATATCATGAAAAATAAAACACATCTTGATTAGATAAATATTCAACCCCCTGAGTCAATCAATACCTGTTAGAATCACCTTTGGCAGCGATTAAAGCTGTAAGTCTAAGAGCTTCCCACACCTGGATTGTACAACATTTCTTCATTATTCTTTTCAAAATTCTTCAAGCTCTGTCAAATTGGTTGTTGATCATTGCTAGACAACCATTTTCAGGTCTTGCCATATATTTTGTATTCAGGACTAACAGTTAATTGCTTTGCCACATTTTTTGCTGTAATACTTTAGTGCCTTGTTGCAAACAGGATGCATGTTTTGGAATATTTTTATTCTGTACAGGCTTCAGTGTTTTCACTCTGTTTTTTATGTCATTTTTACTCCTGATCTTATTTCGGCTTGCCATAACAAAGGGGTTGAATACTTACTGACTCAAGACATTTCAGCTTTTCATTTTTAATTAATTTGCCAACATATCTAAAAACATAATTCCACTTTGACATTATGGGGTATTGTGTGTAGACCAGTGACAAAAAAATCTACATTTAATCAATTTTAAATTCAGGCTGTAACACAACAAAGTGTGGAAAAAGGCAAGGGGTGTGAATACTTCCCCAAACTGTTGCCACAAAGTTGGAAGCACAGAATCGTCTAGAATGTCATTGTAGGCTGTAGCGTTAACATTTCCCTTCATTGGAACTAAGGGGCCTAATCCGAACCATGAAAAACAGCCCCAGACCATTATTCCTCCTCCACCATACTTTACATTTGGCACTATGCATTCGGGCAGGTAGCGTTCTCCTGGCATCCGCCAAACCCAGATTAGTCCGTCAGACTGCCAGATGGTGAAGCGTGATTCATTACTCCAGAGAACGCGTTTCCACTACTCCAGAGTCCAATGACGGCGAGCTTTACACCACTCCAGCCGACGCTAGGCATTGCACATGGTGCTCTTAGGCTTGTGTGCAGCTGCCCGGCTATGGAAACCCATTTCATGAAGCTCCCGATGAACAGTTCTTGAGCTGACGTTGCTTCCAGAGACAGTTTGGAACTCGGTAGTGAGTGTTGCAACTGAGGACAGACGATTTTTACGCACTACGCTCTGTGAGCTTGTGTAGCCACCACCGCTGAGCTGTTGTTGCTCCTAGACGTTTCCACTTCACAATAACAGCACTTACAGTTGCCCAGGGCAGCTCTAGCAGGGAAGAAATGTCACCAACTGACTTTTTGGAAAGGTGGCATCCTATGACGGTGCCATGTTGAAAGTCACTGAGCTCTTCAGTATGGGCCATTCTACTTCCAATGTTTGTCTATGGAGATTGCATGGCTGTGTGCTTGATTTCATACACTTGTCAGCAATTGGTGTGGCTGAAATAGCCGAATCCACTAATTTGAAGGGGTGTCCACATACTTTTGGTCAGGTAGTGTATATCTGTTAGTCGTTTACCTCACCTATAGTATTGAAGCAGTGTATGTTTAGTCCTGTGGGGCTCCTGTCTCCAATGTGGATCTGTTCCAGAGGGTGGTCTGAGGTGTTGGTCAGGCTGATCTGGACTGAGACCATGGTGGGCTGGTAGAGACAGGGCTGTCTGGGGAACTGGTACTGGGCTGACAGACCTTTACCTGTCATACGGTGCAGCAGGTCATGGCTCTTCTCTGGGACAAATGCTGGACCGCTCACCTGGAGAGGAGAGAGAGAGAGAGGGGACAGGGGTGAGTAAATAGGGACACACAGAGAGGACCAATGAGAAAGGTCTGAAGAGCAGAATGTTGGTTGATAACATTTTGACAAATATAGTCTTTGTCAGGCAACCAATCCCAGATAACCCCACATAGAAGTAGGTATGTTGTTTGGTGACGTAGGTACAGCTCTCGTCATTAAATATCTACTTACCATAGGCTACTCCACTTATGACTGCAGGATAACTGAGGGTTTGTTGACAACTTATGCCTCGCTCTGTTCATTAACCATCAACCATTCTACCTGGAAAAAGTCCCATTTCAGCCATGTCCTAGAAAAGTGCCATATAAACCCAATGTATTATTATTATTCCTATACAGTATGTCCCCAATCAGGCAGGTTATTAGTGAGTGGTCGGATGGTCTGATGCGGCTCCACGGCAGGCTGAAGGACTGCTCAGGCTTAATGAATGGGAACACTAGAGGCCTGCTCTGGGCCTTGCCTGCCATTCAGCTTTCTATTAACAGAGCTTTTACCTTTTCAACAGCAGGAACTGTAATTACCATAGCATAGAGAGGCAGGACAAAACACCCTGTCAGGAGGAGAAGAGGGGGGAGAAACTTATTGACACATTCTTGGGGTTAAGAGGAGTGTTTTCTTGTTCTTTATTTTCCCCTCGCTACATCAGCATGGTCCCGCTTTCATTCTGTATTCTATTCGTTCTTTTATTCATTCTATTTTCTGTGCATTCTTATTCTGATTAACCGGCCTGACTCTCTTTCGACTCGTTGATTGGACAGTGGCAATGGCATTCTCTCGACTCAAGCTAATCTAGTCTACGTATAGTGGTAAAAGCCATCTACTTTACACAGACAAAGACAGATGCAAGCAATCACAATTAGGCTACATGCAAAAACAAATATATGTAAGCTGGCTAGGTGGTTTCGTAACACTTTACATAGGCACAAAATGACACTCCATTGCAATACCCCCATCAACAACTGTTACAAAATGCTACTTTTAATGAAGATTGAAGCTACTAGGCCTAAATGGTGTTACACTCTTATCATTTTTAGTTATCGGATGCCCCCATCATGTCACATTCTTGTGTGAAAAGGCGAAAAAACTTTTTTTCACTGTTTAGTGGCTCAATCTTCATTAACAGTAAAAGGCTACCTTGTTGACACCCAGTCCAACCATGCAGTGACATAATTATCTGTCTCAACATCAGGACAATCATAGCCATACAGCGCATTCGGAAAGTATTCAGATCCCTTGACTTTTTCCACATTTTGTTACGTTACAGCCTTATTCTAAAGTTGATTAAATTGTTTTTTTTTCTCCTTCATCAATCTACATACAATACCCCATATGACAAAGCAAAAATAGTTTTTTTGCAAATTAATAAAAAAACAGAAATATCACAAGTATTCAGACCCTTTACTCAGTACTTTGTTGAAGCACCTTTGGCAGCAATTACAGCCTTGAGTCTTCTTGGGTATGACGCTACAAGCTTGGCACACCTGTATTTGGGGAGTTTCTCCCATTCTTCTCTGCAGATCCTCTCAAGCTCTGTCAGGCTGGATGGGGAGCGTCGCTGCACAGCTATTTTCAGGTCTCTCCAGAGACATTCGATCAGGTTCAAGTCCGGGCTCTGGCTGGCCCACTCAAGGACATTCAGAGACTTGTCCCGAAGCCACTCCTGCCTTGTCTTGGCGTGTGCTTAGGGTCGTTGTCCTGTTGGAAGGTGAACCTTCGCCCCCGGTCAGAGGTCCTGAGCAGGTTTTCATCAAGGATCTCTCTGTACTTTGCTCCGTTCATCTTTCCCTCAATCCTGACTAGTCTCCCAGTCCCTACCGCTGAAAAACATCCCCACAGCTTGATGCAGCCACCACCATGCTTCACCGTAGGGATGGTGCCAGGTTTCCTCCAGACGTGATGCTTGGCATTCATGCCAAAGAGTTTAATCTTGATTGCATCAGACCAGAGAATCTTGTTTCTCATGGTCTGAGAGTCCTTTAGGTGCCATTTGGCAAACTCCAAGCGGGCTGTCATGTGCCTTTTACTGAGGAGTGGCTTCCATCTGGCCACTCTACCATAAAGGCCTGATTGGTGGAGTGCTGCAGAGATGGTTGTCCTTCTGGAAGGTTCCCCCAACTCCACAGAGGAACTCTGGAGCTCTGTCAGAGTGACCATCGACTTCTTGGTCACCTCTCTGACCAAGGCCCTTCTCCCCAGATTGCTTAGTTTGTCCGGGCGGCCAGCTCTAGGAAGAGTCTTGGTGGTTCCAAGCTTCTTCCATTTAAGAATGATGGAAGCCACTGTGTTCTTGGGGACCTTCAATGCTGCAGAAATGTTTTGGTACCCTTCCCCAGATCTGTGCCTTGACACAATCCTGTCTCGGAGCTCTACGAACAATTCCTTCGACCTCATGGCTTGGTTTTTAATCTGACATGCACTGTCAACTGTGGGACCTTATATAGACAGGTGTGTGCCTTTCCAAATCATGTCCAATCAATTGAATTGACCACAGGTGAACTCCAATCAAGTTGTAAAACATCCCAAGGATGATCAATGGAAACAGGAGACTCAATATTGAGTCTCATAGCAAAGGGTCTGAATACTTACTTAAATAAGGTATTTCAGTTTTGTATTTTTAATACATTTGCAAACTTTTGTAAAAACCTGTTTTTGCTTTGTCATTATGAGGTATTGTGTGTAGATTGATGAGGATTTTATTTTATTTAATCCATTTTAGAATAAGGCTGCAACATAACAAAATGTGGAAAAAGGGAAGGGGTCTGTATGAAAAATGTATGCACTCACTAACTGTAAGTCGCTCTGTATAAGAGCGTCTGCTAAATGACTAAAATGTAAAAATGTAAATATCTGAATACTTTCCGAATGCACTGTATATTGCCCATATACTAATTAGGCTATAGTATGCCCATCACTCTACCAGCTTAACTTCCACCTCCTCCCTGTCTCTCTGACAGACAGACACATGGATATCAACCCTGTGTTAATGAGAGTAAAGTGAGAGAACTAACGCTAAAACAAGTAGTTAACACCTCCTGAAACCTTCTGTTACACCTGCTGCTGTTGGTGCTATGTGTTTACCTTGACAAGCTGAGAGATGGACAGAGAGGGGGAGGGATAGAGAGAGAGGAGAGAGAGAGAGAAGGGAGTGAGAGGAAGAGAGGAGGAAGTGAGGGAGAGAGAGAGGGGAGTGAGGGGGAGAGAGAGAGAGAGGAGAGAGAGAGAGAGAGAGGAGAGGAGAGAATTCTATATCCACTTAAAAGGAAGCGATTCCCAAACCTTCCATAACAAAGCCATCACCTACAGAGAGATGAACTTGGAGAAGAGTCCCCTAAGTAAGCTTGTCCTGGGGCTCTGTTCACAAACACAAACAGACCCCACACAGTCCCAGGACAACAACAACAACAACAACACAATTAGACCCAACCAAATCATGAGAAAACAAAAAGAGAATTACTTGACACATTGGAAAGAACAAACAAATAAACAGAGCAAACTAGAATGCTATTTGGCCCTAAACAGAGAGTACACAGTGGCAGAATACCTGACCACTGTGACTGACCCAAAACTTAAGGAAAGCTTTGACTATGTACAGACTCAGTGAGCATAGCCTTGCTATTGAGAAAGGCCGCCGTAGGCAGACCTGGCTCTCAAGAGAAGACAGGCTATGTGCACACTGCCCACAAAATGAGGTGGAAACTGAGCTGCACTTCCTAACCTCCTGCCAAATGTATGACCATATTAGAGACACATATTTCCCTCAGATTACAGCGATCCACAAAGAATTCGAAAACAAAACCCAATTTTGATAAACTCCCTTATCTACTGGGTGAAAAACCACAGTGTGCCATCAACAGCTGCAAGATTTGTGACCTGTTGCCACAAGAAAAGGGCAACCAGTGAAGAACAAACACCATTGTAAATACAACCCATATTTATGTTTTATTTATTTTCCCATTTGTACTTTAACTATTTGTACATTGTTACAACACTGTATATATACATAATATGACATTTGGAAATGTCTTTATCTTTTTGAAACTTTGAGTGTAAGTGTTACTGTTAATATTTATTGTTTATTTCACTTTGTTTACTATCTACTTCACTTGCTTTGGCAATGTTAACACACATTTCCCATGCCAATAAAGCCCTTAAATTGAAATTGAAATTGAATTGAGAGAGAGAGAGAGAGAGAAGAGAGAGAGAGAGAGAGATCGATCGAGAGAGAGAGAGAGAAGAGAGATAGAGAGAGATAGAGAGAGAGAGGAGGAGAGAGGAGGAGGAGACGAAAGAATGGAGTGTGGGGGGAAGAGAGAGAGGGAGGGGAGAGACAGAGAGAGAGAAGGGAGTGAGAGGAAGAGAGAGGGAAATTATAAAAAGAGGTGTTTGACAGGAGATGGAGGTGGATGGACATATTTGCCAGTCTCTTTCAGATCAGACGATAGGAGAAGGGGTAAGGAGAAAGAAGAAGATATATGTGTGAGACATTCTCAGGATTGTCATGGTGTGTGAGTGTGGAGAATCAGTTTGAAATACAACAGGGTGGAACTCAAAGTGCTGACAAAACAAGTTAGTTAGTAAACAGAAACAGACTGGCTAATCACAGTCAAAAAGTCCTCCTACAATGACACATAGGAGAGGAGAACAGGTTATCCCCATCCTCCCCTGGTAATAGCCAGCCCAGACGTGTCGGGTACCCCCAGACTTCCCAGACACACAGACAGGAAGGGGGTCAAACAAACATTTGTCACGGCACGGCGCCCTCACACTTGCCCGTCACGCCAACAGGGGAAATTTATCGGGCCACTTTTGTTTGTGTCAGAGCAGTCGTTGTCGATAAAGCTGGCCGTAATGTCTGCCACGCCTTCACAGAGCAGATTTACCTTCCTGACAAGCACATCCTGCTCCCTCCGCGCTCAAGGTCCTGTCTAGCACCCCCGAGAGGAGGGAGGGAGGGAGAGAGGAAAGGAGGACAGGATAGGACAGGGTTTCAAACCGCTTATCATCACCAATTTGACACAGCAGACAGTAATGTCCTAACACACACACACAGAGACACACACACCCTCCCCCAGTCTTCCATCACTTTTGGCCTGTGAGGCAGGACGCATCCTCCAGACCCAAAGTGTAAATAACAGCAGGCTAGGGATGTAACCTTGATTCCCGTGTCACACACACACACCCTTGGAGGGTCCCTTTTTGTCTGGTCTCTCCTGGACTTGGGGGAAGCTGACAATGGGAGAGGAAGTTGATTGAGAGGCTCTATTATGTCTCAACTTAAAGGAAGCTACTGTGATGGATGACACACACGCCAGTCACCTTCAGAGCCTGGACACACACACCCACGCTGCGGGACGACACGCTCACTCCTTCCCAGCATCCTCTCTGGTAAATTACCTGAAAATCCCGCTGACATATTCAAAAGGGGCTAACCCTAACTTTGCGTCTGGTGAGCATGTGAACGCATAATATGTCAAATTTAAGAGAAAGTGTGTGTGTTAGGAGATGTATGGGGATGTATTGAAAATCCATTTTCTGTTTTTGTGACAGTGGCCTGCTTGTGTACTTTGAGATTGTTATGAGAGAGAGATAGAGAGGAGAGAGAGAGTAGAAGAGAGAGGAGAGAGATAAGAGAGAGAAGAGAGAGAGAGAGAGAGAGAAAAAGAAAAAGGGAAAAAAAAAAAAAAAAGAGGAGTCAGAGAGAGAGAGAAGAGAGAGAGATGGAGAGAGAGAGAGAGAGGTGTAAGAGACATGATTTTGTTTGTTCCCTTCAGTCAGTCAGGAGATGACAATTAATTGAGTCAGTCTATCAGAAGACCTTGACTAGAAGGAGTCAGCTAGATGTCACCACAGTCACCTACAACCTTATTAAGCCAACAGGAGTTAGTTAGCCCAAAGCACACAGAGGTTAGCTCATCTGGGACCATTCGTCACTAAATTAGATTTCTTAAAAGTGATTAATCTTTGTACTTTCAAAGAAACACGGACAGTTATGGTACACCAAGACTCAGTCAGTAAATCTTACCACAGTGGCATCAGTTTAATTGAAGCCTTTGCATCAGGGGCTTGATTCAGAGAGACAGACAGACAGACAGACCCCCCCCCACACACACACCCTCACCCAGCCACATCCCATCCCATCCAAATCAACCAATTGCATATTGCACTATTTCCTACAGGGCATTTAAACCTATTTATACCCAGACAGTGTGTGTGTGTGTGTGTGTGTGTGTATATGTGTGAGTGGCAGGTAGGGGTGTGTGGAGGGCAGGGCTGCTATATTCCTGCCTCTCCCAGTCCACTGCTGATTCATAATTAGACCTGAACCCAGCGCACCCACACCGGGGGAGGTTAGGGGGGTAAGGCGTAGGGAGGCGCAGCCTGCCTGATGGGCACCAAATGAACAAATTATGATGGCCCCCTCCGGGCGTGATGGGGTCAAACGGCCCGCGCCCCGCCGCTGACAGTTCAATTTCCCCCCAACGCAGCCTCATTCGCCCAATGCTAATTATGAATGAAACGTTATCAGCCTTAGACAATCCCCCCCTACACACATACACACGGACAACGGAAGGAGGTTGTGTGTTTGGAGGGGGGGGGGGGGGGGGGGGGTTTAAAGGCATTTGGGAGAGATCCTCTAATGTCAAAATGTTATTAGAGAGAGAGAGATGGGGAAAAAGAGAGAGGAATGGAAGAGAGAAGAGGAGAGAGAGAGAAGGGGAAAAAAGAGAGAGAGAGAGAGAGGAGAAAGGAAGAAGAGAGAGAGAGAAGGGAAGGGAGAGAGAGAGAAGAGAAGAAAGAGAGAAGAAGAGGAGAGAAGGGAAAGAAAGAGAGAGAGAGAGAAGAATGGAAGAAGAGAGAGAGAGAGAAGGGAAGAAGAAGAGAGGAGAGAGAAGGGAAAAAAGAGAGAAGAGAATGGAAGAAGAGAGAGAGAGAGAAGGAAGAAGGAGAGAGAGAGAGAGAATGGAAGAAGAGAGAGAGAAGAGAGAGAGAACGGAAGAAGAGAGAGAGAGAGGAAGGAGAAGAGAGGAGAGAGAGAGGAAGAAGGAAGAAGAGAAGAGAGAGAGAGAGAAGGGAAGAAGAGAGAGAGAGAGAAGAGAAGAAGAGAGAGAGAGAGAGAGAAGGGAAGAAGAGCCAAGAGAGGGAGATAGAGGAGAGGAGAGGTCAGAGACAGTGACCAGGGTTAATGTAAATGTCTTTGATAACCATGCAGTAATTCTCTAAAAGGGCCGAAGCGCTCAGCTGAGACACACTCACCGCTTCTGTGGGCGGATTGGTGAGAAATAGAAATGACACCGGGGCAAGTGTGTGTGTCTGTGTGAAGGATATTGGTCTGTGTGTGTCTGTGTGAAGGATATTGGTGTGTGTGTGTTGTGTGTGTGAGAGAGAGAGAGCGAGATAGGGAGTGAGTGGGTGATACTGTTTGTGTGTGTGGGTAGTGTCTGCTCGCACATCTTTGAAATAAGTAGCGAGAGGGTTGTGAGGTTATTTACCCCAGTCTATGAATCCTGATGGCCATCATGTATTTATGCATAGGATTGACTCTCAATCAGATGCTGATGTGCAAACAGCACCCTGTTTAATCTGCATTTCTATGGTCTATTACTGCCTGGCCTTAACCTATCAGTACACACACCACTCTGCATACAGACAGGCCTGAGACAGGCTGTCAATCACACAAACACGCGCGCGCACACACACACACACTGACACAAACGCAAAGAAAGAAAGGACGAAAAGACTGTATACGAGAAGGAACTTATTACTAGTAGGTAAGACAAGGAATGTAATGGGAACATTATGGGATGTTATGGTGATGTTATAGGGACATATCTACTCTCTATTAAATTAGCTCATATTGGTCGATTGGTCACACATGCTCCTCAGCTAAAGTAGTGCTGGTACAAGGCCAACAAACACATAAATCTCACACCAAAGAGAAAAAGAGCCATTAAACTGGGAAAAGGTCAGCCATGATGCATAGACACACTGTACAGACTACAGAGACACCAGGGAGAGAACAACTGACAGGGAGATGGAGAGAGAGATGGAGAGGGAGGTGGAGAGAGAGGTGGTGGAGAGAGAGGTGGAGAGAGAGGTGGAGAGAGAGGTGGAGAGAGAGGTGGAGAGGGAGGTGGAGAGGGAGGTGGAGAGGGAGGTGGAGAGAGAGGTGGAGAGAGGAGGTGGAGAGAGAGGGAGAGAGAGGTGGAGAGAGAGATGGAGAGAGAGTGGAGAGAGAGGGGAGAGGAGATGGAGAGGGAGGTGGGAGAGAGGGGGAGGTGGAGAGAGAGGTGGAGAGAGAGATGGAGAGAGAGATGGAGAGGGAGGTGGAGAGGGAGGTGGAGAGAGAGGTGGAGAGAGAGGTGGAGAGAGAGGTGGAGAGAGAGGTGGAGAGAGAGGTGGAGAGAGAGATGGAGAGAGAGATGGAGAGGGAGATGGAGAGGGAGGTGGAGAGAGAGGTGGAGAGAGAGGTGGAGAGAGAGGTGGAGAGAGAGGTGGATGGAGGTTGGCATTGAGAGTTGTATGAACAGGACACATGGAGAGAGGAAAACAGAAACAGAACAACTGTGAAACACAGGCAATGCACTTGTATGGGAGGGAGATGATTTATACATTTGTCCAGGAAGGAGGAAAGGGTCAACAGCCAACTTCAGGAGGAGATCTCTCAGCCACTGGAGAGACAGTCATTTAAAGACACTCTGCCGTACAGTATGATCCAACACGTTTCTCTCTCAGCTCTGTCAAACACACACACACACGATCCAGTGGACGTACACACCAAGGGAGGGATTAACAGACAGACAGACCTACACACACACACTCACCTGGATGGCGGAGGAGACATTGGAGAGACACAGGCCCTCCAGGTCTCCTAGCAGGCTGGGGGAGAGGACAGAAGACTTGAGCTGGGTCAATGGGGCAGGAGTGACTATAGGACACACACAGAACACTTATGAGATGAATTCCAACTGGAAATCCCGTGGTATTTTTCCCAGCTACGTGCTGTTTTACAGACAGAAAACTCACAGTCATCCAGATTCAACAGAGACACCTCCTCATTTGACTTCACCTCCACCTGGAGAAAAGACCAACAGAAACCTACATGAGAAACATACTGTCCCTAGAACATACAGATATTCACTGACTTTGAACAGGTGCTGGATAAAATAAATATTCATTCATGTTCGACCCTTAGGTCTGTGTCAGATTGTGAAACATGTTTATAGTAAATACACTTGGCAGAGTACAGCACAGTATATCATAACATATGTTCCAACATGAATGGCAGATGAATGAAGGCTATAGATGAAAGAGAAAGAAGAACGAGTGGAAAGAGAGAAAGATGACAAGCAGAATATTAAAGTATTAAAGTAAAGTCTGTATATGGGGGAATGTAGCCTTATTTGACTGACAGTGTCTATACAATGCAGCAACATGATATTCCTAAACATGTCTGCTATGTACATAAAATGCAATTATATTTCTCAGGCTGCTGTGCGTATATACATCTGGAGTGTCTCTATGATCTGCATTGGCCAGCCATGAAGCATGTCACGTCACAACCGATAGATACACTCTAGTGACTCTACCTCCTACCACTAGGCCAGGCTTGTCAAACGGCAACTCTGAATATTACGACGGGTATCGCCACATATACACTACAACAGGCAACAATAAAAACGTGTTTAAACATACGAGCGCTTTTACGGCCCTCTGTCTCTCCATGCCCTCCTAGCCAAACACGGCTCTGTTCACGTCTCATAAAGAACCGTAAAATTCCACTCTGCTTACTGCGGGATCCACGAAGGAGGAGGGAGGGAGGGAGAGAGAGAGAGAGAGAGAGAGAGGGAGAGAGAGAGTGAGAGACGAGGGAGAGAGAGAGAGAGAGAGAGAGAGAGGAGAGAGAGAGAGAGGAGGAGAGAGGAGAGAGAGGCGAGAGGAGAGAGAGGAGAGAGAGGAAGAGAGAGAGAGAGAGGAGAGAGAGAGAGAGAGAGAGAGGAGAGATTAGAGAGAGGAGAGAGTGGAGAGAGGAGGAGAGAGAGAGAGAGAGAGAGAAGGCATAATAGTGAAAACAAACAATGAAGTTAGAGGGCGTATCTTATCAGATGGTCTCTGATAGATGCTTGATGGCAAAGAAGAAACCCTTGTTAGCAGGCGGAGTGAGAGAGAGAGAAAGAAAGAAAGAGAGCGAGGAAGAAAGAGATGGAGAGAAAAGACAGAGAGATGCATAATGCATAGGTCGTAGCAGCAAAGTGTGCAAAATGAAAATGTCAGTGCAGAAAGAGAGAGGGAATCAGAAAGAGAGAGAGGGGATCAGAAAGAGAGAGAGGGAATCAGAAAGAGAGAGAGGGAATCAGAAAGAGAGAGAGGGAATCAGAAAGAGAGAGACGGAATCAGAAAGAGACAGGGGATCAGAAAGAGAGAGAGGGAATCAGAAAGAGACAGGGGATCAGAAAGAGAGAGGGGGAATCAGAAAGAGAGAGACGGAATCAGAAAGAGAGAGGGAATCAGAAAGAGAGAGAGGGAATCAGAAAGAGACAGGGGATCAGAAAGAGAAAGGGGGAATCAGAAAGAGAGAGACGGAATCAGAAAGAGAGAGAGGGAATCAGAAAGAGAGAGGGGATCAGAAAGAGAGAGACGGAATCAGAAAGAGAGAGAGGGAATCAGAAAGAGAGAGAGAGAATCAGAAAGAGAGAGAGGGAATCAGAAAGAGAGAGAGGGAATCAGAAAGAGAGAGAGGGAATCAGAAAGAGAGAGGGAATCAGAAAGAGAGAGACGGAATCAGAAAGAGAGAGAGGGAATCAGAAAGAGAGAGGGAATCAGAAAGAGAGAGAGGGAATCAGAAAGAGAGAGAGGGAATCAGAAAGAGAGAGGCAATCAGAAAGAGAGAGGCAATCAGAAAGAGAGAGGGGATCAGAAAGAGAGAGACGGAATCAGAAAGAGAGAGAGGGAATCAGAAAGAGAGAGGGAATCAGAAAGAGAGAGGGAATCAGAAAGAGAGAGGCAATCAGAAAGAGAGAGGGAAGGATGAGGGAAGAGAAAAAAGAGGGGGGTGAAATAAGCAAGAAACAAAGAAGCAGACCAAATCATATTCCACTGTGTAAAATCTGCTTTCTCTGCCTCCAGTAGCTGTACAAAGACACTGTTCACACTCACTAACACACTGCATACGGTTGTACCATGATGAACAAAGGGTTGGTTCATACGCTCTTATTTACAGTGTAGAGAACAGCTCAGATTGGACACAGGTCAACAGACCTTTATCTGTTCAGAGTCAGACCACGGCCTCAATTCAATCAACTGCAGATAAAAGAAACCCCCACTGCAGATGAAGTGTGTTAACGCTAGCTGTATCATAGGTGTTAACGCTAGCTGTATCATAGGTGTTAACGCTAGCTGTATCATAGGTGTTAACGATAGCTGTATCATAGGTGTTAACGCTAGCTGTATCATAGGTGTTAACGCTAGCTGTATCATAGGTGTTAACGCTAGCTGTATCATAGGTGTTAACGCTAGCTGTAACATAGGTGTTAACGCTAGCTGTATCATAGGTGTTAACGCTAGCTGTATCATAGGTGTTAACCATGTTAGAACTGGCACACCTAGCAAGCTGTTGCCCTTACAGTTGGTTGGTTGGTTGTCTCACCTTGGGTTTGGCTTTAGACTTGGTCTTCTTCTTGTGTTCGGTGCCTGAGTCAGCGTCTGTGTCTGAGTCTGATTCTGAATCAGAGGAGCTCTCTTCTGCAGACGAACTTCTGGCCTCTTTAGCAACGTTCCTATTCTCATCCGAATCACTGACACAGGAACACGCACACCAACGAACAAACACACGTTGAGGAGGGAGAACACAAAAGGTCGTAAGAGTTGAACTGCCAAATCACACTCCAACACTATTCTATCTGTAACTGATAAAGGAGTGCATGTTTAAAGAGGATTTCCAATGTGGAGATCTAAGGAATACGGCACCTATAACATATCTTAAAATGAAGACCGTAATACAACATTAACATGTGTGTTTCCTTTAACCAAAACAACAAATATGACAAAGTTTCAATACGAAGGGGAAAGTGTTATGAATCTATCCATTCAAACACTTTCCACCCGCACCACGTACTGCAGTCTGCTGGAGCTCACACTCAAACTCTGTCAGAACAACCAAGATCAATCTGTTTTGGTTTGCCCACTTAATTTAATATCACTTTGGCTAAAAAGTTATCCTCCTCCTCCCTCCCCTCCATCTCTCTCTTCAATTTGTCCTGATAATGAGTATTTACTCGGGCTGCCTGGGATTTTCAGCTGTTAAATTAACGAGGAGAATTGTGACGGTAACTGGCTTTTTAACTTGGCCGATGATGAGAAGCCAGTATTAATTTGGCCTACAGATTTCATTTGTTTCGAACAGGAAAAAGCGCTATAAATCAGAGTGGGCCTGATTAAGTCCTGCCTGGAATGACTGGGCTGTAATGAGGGTATTATGCTGTGTTTGTTGTGGAAGCACTGGGGTGAGCTGGGATAATTACTGTGTGTGTGTCGGTGTGTGTGTTTGAGAGAGAGAGAGAGAGAGAGAGAGAGAGATAGTGTGTGTGTGTGTGTGAGATAGTGTGTGTCAGTGTGTGTGTGAAAGCACTGGGGTGAGCTGCTCTAATTACACTCTAATGGAGAGAACAAGGTCAGCTGCCGGCCTGTCATACAGCGCGAGCAGGTAGGGTGTGTGTGTGTGCGTGCGAGCAGGTAGGGTGTGTGTGTGTGCGTGCGAGCAGGTAGGGTGTGTGTGTGTGCGTGCGAGCAGGTAGGGTGTGTGTGTGTGTGTGCGTGCGAAAGAAAGCTGGGGTGAGTGAAATAGAACGTGTCAGGGACAAAATGTGCCAATGTGTAACAGTGTGTGTGTGTGTTCAGCAGTAATGACTCAGATCTCATTCATTGGTACCACCAGGCAGCTAAATGACCAATCCACAGTCATTATCTATCAGCCATGTAAATCTGGACCACACTACTGCTGATGGAGCTCACACTAACTACATTATAACGGCTCTGAGTGTGTGAGTGTGTGTGTGTGTGTGTGTGTGTGTGTGTGTGTGTGTGTGTGTGTGTGTACAGTAGGTGTCATCGTATGTCTTCAACATGACCAGAGAGAATGTGCATGAGAGAGGGAGAGAAAGAGAGAGGGAGAGAAAGAGAGAGGGAGAGAAAGAGAGCGAGAGAGAGGGTGAACAGATGGAGAATTAGATTATTGATGCCACAAAGCACTGATCAAGTTGCTGACTGTGACCATGACTTCAGACAGCTGCACTGTTGTATGAGTGCACACACACACCCCTGCCTAATTATCACGCTCAGCCTTCGATAAAACAGGTTAGACCTCAATAGATAAATTCAGCATGAGGAGACATGACAGATACACAGTACATACAGGTTCCAAACCAAGGACCTAGTCAAGGGAGTGGGCATGTTCCATTATAGTGTGGTACCTGTCTTTGGCCGTTGGTTTGACTGTCTTCTTCTGTAGTGGTTTCTTAGTTTTCCTCTTCTTCTTTTCAGTGTCAGACTCACTGGAACTCTTCTCTGATTGGCTGGAGGACTTGTCTGACTCCTCACTGCTCTGACTGCTGTTCTTCTCCACGCTGCTCTCTGCATCGCTGCCTGACTCTGTGGACACACAGGTTCATCTTGTAAGATGTACAGTCTTATAGATATAATGGACTGGACTGGCATTGCAAACACTCATAACAGAACATTATACTTTATGTTACACACGTGGACACACACCTTCACTACTACTGCTGCTATCATCACTGCTACTGCTCCCTGATCCCCCCTCCTCCTCCTCCTCCTCCTCTCCAGAGTCAGAGTAGAACTTGTCATCTGATGACTTGGCAGGCTTGGATTTCCCAGTCTTCCCTAGCGACGGAGCCCACTCCTTCACCTGGCAACAGAATAGGAAGTGAGGTCAGAGGAAGTGAGGTACAGTAAGAGGAAGTAAAGTAAGAGAAGGGAGGAGAGGAGAGTTGGGAGAACCGCAAACTTATTGAAACGTAGTAAAATGGATTTGTAGTTTGTGTGACAGAGTTGACCATGACCACCCTTGGTGTAGGGCTGGGGTGGGGAGAGCAGTAGAAGTAAAGATGGATGGATGGCTCTTTACCGGCTCGATCACCTCCACATTCCTCACTGATTGGTCAGGAGCCACGGCGGGCCAATCAGAGAGCTCCAGGTAGCCACTGGCTTTGGTGTTGATGGTGTGGGACAGGGTTCCCAACTGGTAGCGATCACGGTCTGACAGAGAGAGGGAGAGAGATAGAGAGCGATAGAGAGAGGTAGAGGGGAGAGAAGAGGAAGAGAAAAAGATGGCGAGTGGGCAAGATAGAGGGAGGGGAGTAAAGGGAAAAGAACAGAGGGATGGAGAAAGAGAGGAGAAAATGTGTCAGAGGAGAAACATCATGATTAACATTGGAGGGGGGGGGGGGGGGGGGGGGGGGGGGGTGAGAGGGGGGAGAGAGAGAGGCAGGGGTCTCAATGTCACAGCAGTGCTCTCTCAATCAGCAGGACAGAGTAATTGGCCTTAAACACTCTGAAATGTCACTGTATAAAAAAAACACACACACACACACACACACACACACACACACACACACACACACACACACACACACACAGCACTGTTTCATAAAGGGTCCAGGAGCCCACATGAGCACACACACACGGCAGCGGGCAAACAGATTAAAAGGATTCTCCCTCCCTAATGGTGAATATAGGAGGTGTAATCAGCCAAAGTGCCTGGGGAGGTCTGCCTTCAAAACAGGCTTTCTCTAACAAAAGAGGTGTTAAAGTGTGAATATTAAGAATGACAGGAGTGGTTAACGTTTTCTATAAACATCTAGTAGACGCAGAAACCACCGCAGAATAATAATGTTTAGGACGCTGCTTCTGTCTCTCTCTTATCTGGATTAAAGTCAAGTGTGTGTGTGTGTGTGTGTGTGTGTGTTTGTTCTCTGTGTCTCAGAAAGGTTATCATTAGCCAGGTAATTCACCCATCTCATTTGAGCCAGGAGAGAGAGAGAGAGCCCTGACCCCACTGCCATTCTGAGACACACACACTCTATTCCCTATCTAGTGCACTATTTAAAAAGGTACCTTTGTATGCAGACTGGATGACGGGTGCTGGTTTGGGCGCCAGCAGGATGCGGTGGGCGTACTTGCTGAGCGCTCCGCTCTTGTCATTGGGAACAATGAGCTGGCGGATGAAACGCGTGCGGTCTCTGATGTCATAGTTCTGGTCATATTTCCCAAGATTCAGAATGTACTGGGTCAACAACTTAGTCTGGATGGAGGGAAGGAGGGATATGGGGAGATATGGTGGGAGAGAGGGAAGGAGGAGAGGGAGAGAAAGATTAAGTGGATGGGGCAGGAAAAAGAGCAGGGGAAAGATGGAAGGATATGGGGAGATATTGAAGGAGATGGGGGAGATGGAGGGAGAGAACACACACAGCTCTGGGGCATCACACTACATTTTCTCACTGATTTTACTTCCTACCAACGCTCTCTTCTCCTCTCTCCTCCTCTTTCTCCAGCTGAGACTGCTCCCTACACTAACTGTATGAGTGACAACCTCTCCCTGTGCCAGGTGGGTATATGGTCTGAGATGGGAAGTGCTTTCCTTACACTAACATATATTATTTAGGGAGGAATAAAAACAAGAGTTACTACCCCTGAACGGCAACATTACACCTCTCTCTCTCTCCATCCCCCTCTCTCTCTGAAACATTACCAGGGGATACTGGTGTAATGATGTGCTCATTTGAGGAGGCAGCAGCAGCATCTGCAGTGTGGTCATAAACGCAGCTTGGCAGCCATATTGCCTCCCATCTGATAGAATGGGCCTAAAGTTCTCAAACGAGGGGAGGCAGGGAGATGGGAGGATGCACTACATTAAAGCCTGCTCTTAACAAAGCATTTAGCTCTGAGGTTATGGTATAGGACTTCTGTTAGACCCAGCAGGCTGAAGCAGACACAACCAAACTGGAAGTCATCATAAGCTGAATTGAGGTCTTATTACATGGTAATAACAGCTTAATAAACATCTTATAGGCTACAGTACAGTTTAGCGTAGACTATGTACAGTTGAAGTCAGAAGTTTACATACACTTAGTTTGGAGTCATTAAAACTCGTTTTTCAACCACTCCACAAATTTATTGTTAACAAACTATAGTTTTGGCAAGTCGGTTAGGACATCTACTTTGTGCATGACACAAGTACATTTTTCCAACAATTGTTTACAGACAGATTATTTCACTTATAATTCACTGTATCACAATTCCAGTGGGTCAGACGTTTACATACACTAAGTTGACTGTGCCTTTAAACAGCTTGGAAAATTTCAGAGAATGATGTCATGGCTTTAGAAGCTTCTGATAGGCTAATTGACATCATGTGAGTCAATTGGAGGTGTACCTGTGGATGTATTTCAAGGCCTACCTTCAAACTCAGTGCCTCTTTGCTTGACATCATGGGAAAATCAAAACAAATCAGCCAAGACCTCAGAAAAGAAATTGTAGACCTCCACAAGTCTGGTTCATCCTTGGGAGCAATTTCCAAACGCCTGAAGGTACCACGTTCATCTGTACAAACAATAGTACGCAAGTATAAACACCATGGGACCACGCAGCCGTCATACCGCTCAGGAAGGAGACGCGTTCTGTCTCCTAGAGATGAACGTACTTTGGTCCGAAAACTGCAAATCAATCCCAGAACAACAGCAAAGGACCTTGTGAAGATGCTGGAGGAAACAGGTACAAAAGTATATATATCCACAGTAAAACGAATCCTATATCGACATAACCTGAAAGGCCGCTCAGCAAGGAAGAAGCCACTGCTCCAAAACTGCCATAAAAAAGCCAGACTACGGTTTGCAACTGCACATGGGGGCAAAGATCGTACTTTTTGGAGAAACGTCCTCTGGTCAGATGAAACAAAGATTTAACTGTTTGGACATAATGACCATCGTTATGTTTGGAGGAAAAGGGGGGGGCTTGCAAGCCGAAGAACACCATCCCAACCGTGAAGCACGGGGGTGGCAGCATCATGCTGTGGGGATACTTTGCTGCAGGAGGGACTGATGCACTTCACAAAATAGATGGCATCATGAGGAAGGAAAATGATGTGGATATATTGAAGCAACATCTCAAGACATCAGTCAGGAAGTTAAAGCTTGGTCGCAAATGGGTCTTCCAAATGGACAATGACCCCAAGCATACTTCCAAAGTTGTGGCTTAAGGACAACAAAGTCAAGGTATTGGAGTGGCCATCACAAAGCCCTGACCTCAATCCTATAGAAAATCTGTGGGCAGAACTGAAAAAGAGTGTGCGAGCAAGGAGGCCAACAAACCTGACTCAGTTACACCAGCTCTGTCAGGAGGAATGGGCCAAAATTCACCCAACTTATTGTGGGAAGCTTGTGGAAGGCTACCCGAAACATTTGACCCAAGTTAAACAATTTAAAGGCAATGCTACCTAATACTAATTTAGTGTATGTAAACTTCTGACCCACTGGGAATGTGATGAATGAAATAAAAGCTGAAATAAATCATTCTCTCTACTATTATTCTGACATTTCACATTCTTAAAATAAACTGACCTAAGACAGGGGATTTTTACTAGGATTAAATGTCAGGAATTGTGAAAAACTGAGTTTCAATGTATTTGGCTAAGGTGTATGTAAACTTCCGACTTCAACTGTATGTATGTATGTATGTTTTACCTGTTTGGAGTTGGTGAGGTAGAGTTTGGCAGCCAGGTTGACAGTCTGGAGCTTGACGATGTCCTCCTCGGAGGTGAAGCTCTTGGCCATCTTGCGGAGAACGTCAGGGGCGATCTTAGGGACCCTCTCACAATACTCTCCCATCAGCCACAGAATGCTGGCCCGTGCCATCGGCACCTGGAGACACAGAAGGGTTAGTCCTCACCATCCTCTCCCATCAGCCACAGAATGCTGGCCCGTGCCATCGGCACCTGGAGACACAGAAGGATTAGTCCTCACCGTCCTCTCCCATCAGCCACAGGATGTTGGCCCGCGCCATCGGCACCTTCGGCACGGGTTACTCTATGTTAAGATTGTAACGTCCCAACTCACACAAGCTCAGTCTCATGAAATACACACACTCTGACACAGCCACACAAATGTCCAGATAGTGGTAGACGTACAGTGATGTTGTCGAAGAGTTTGGCCATGTGTTTGATGATGTCACTGTGCTGGGTGGGCTGGGTCTGGAGCAGCTTCTTAATCACCACCACGCTCTCCGCCACCACCGTCTCTGTAATGACTTAATACGGTTACATTTAAAACAATACATACAAGAAGAGGATTTCACACACATCAAACTTTGGACAGAAGCTGGACAAAGAACCAATCAGACGATCAATCAATCAATAAACCAATGGACTGGATCCCTCCCCCCGTACCGTCTCTGTTAGAGAGCAGCAGCACCAGTCCGTTGAGGCAGGTGTCTGTGACCTCAGAGATGTTGGTGGCACACCTGCCGATGGCCTGGATGGTACCGGCAGCAAACTGCTTGTCCTGGCTCTTCACATAGGTCTGGAAAAACCAAAGCACAAGTTGGAGCCATTCACTGTAAAGGGCAATAAATACATGTGCCAGAGATGGGTAAAGAGTTTGAATGTGAAAAAGAGGAAAAGAGAGAGAAAGAGAGAAAAGAGAGCGAAAGAGAAAAAAGAGAATGAGAAAGGAAGAGAAAAACTTACCTGGAACTCTCTAAGGATGGTGGAGATGTTGGCTTCGTTGGCGAGGTTGGTCAAGATCTCCAGCTGGGGAGTCAAGATAGATCTGATCACACACCTGAACTCATCTCATGGTTTACTTTTACATTAACTAGGTCATCATGAGGGAGCTTACCTTGAGTGATTTGATGTGAGTGGCATCTGTGGATCTCACATAGAAACTCTTCATGTAAGGTTCAAACATGCCCTAGCGAGACATCAAAACATACAGTTCAAACAAGGTACATGTGCCAATACATCTATGCATGCTAAACTGCAACTAAATGACCTACTACTACAGATGTAGGATCTTAATTTGACCTAGATATTGTCACAGCAAAATAATTCTGTAGTAACAGGATATTAACATTTAGTCCATAATATTGCTTGATCGGCGGTTAGCCTGTGGATTAAATAAAAAATTCCCCTCACTGGGGAAGGTTCACCTTCCAACAGGACAACGACCTTACGCACACAGCCAACACAACGCAGGAGTGGCTTCAGGACAAGTCTCTGAATGTTTTTGAGTAGCCCAGCCAGAGCCTGGACTTGAACCCGATCTAACATCTCTGGAGAGACCTGAAAATAGCTGTGCAGCGACGCTCCCCATCCAACCTGACAGAGCTTGAGAGGATCTGCAGAGAAGAATGGGAGAAACTCCCCAAGTGTACCAAGCTTGTAGCGTCATACCCAAGAAGACTCGAGCCTGTAATTGCTGCCAAAGGTGTTTCAACAAAGTACTGAGTAAAGGGTCTGAATACTTATGTAAATGTGATATTTCAGTTGTATTTATTTTTTATGCAAAAATGTCTAAAAACCTGTTTTTGCTTTGTCATTATGGGGTATTGTGTGTAAACTGATCAGGGGAAAAAACGATTTAATCAATTTTAGAATAAGGCTGTAACGTAACAAAATGTGGAAAAAGTCAAAGGGTCTGAATACTTTCCAAATTTGACATTTTTACATTTTAGTCATTTAGCAGACGCTCTTATCCAGAGCGACTTACAGTTAGTGAGTGCATACATTTTCATACTGGCCCCCCGTGTGAAAGAAGGTGGAAAAGAAGCCCTGCTTTACCAAGTGCATTGTAACCGTGTGTTAGTGTGGGTTTTCAGTGAATTGATCTAAATCACAAAGCTCATCTGCATTTCCTGCAGTGCATGTACATTCTCAGCAACAAAAGAGTAATCAAATGAAGATCCTACATCTGTAAGGGTGTCTGTCCTGACTAGGGATGTTAATGGTTAACAGTTAGTCATTGAAAATAAATTTGACCGGTCACGCTTGGCATTTTGGTATTTTATTAGGATCCCCATTAGCTGTTGCGAAAGCAGCAGCTAATCTTCCTGGTAGTAGTCCACACAAAACATGACATAATACAGAACATTAACAGACAAGAACAGAACTACATCAATTTAAAAATGGCATAACTAAACCGATATGGCTGTCTCTACTGAGCCGAGAGCAAGCCAGAGACTCGTTGCTAGGCAGTGGGAGAGGGAGGAGCAGCATGAAGCAGCTAACAACAACAGCTAAGCTAACAACCATGCCATTAACCAGCATTTCTCTCCTGTTCTACTGGTTTTCATATCAACTTTCTTCCGTTGTCCAGAAGCCAAAGGCACAATCCTACTCATATTAACAACCAAGCCTAGTTGTTGCATATTTACATTTTCTCTCTACGTTTCTAACGGAGATGTTCATCTCTGTCACATGAAACGGCTCGCATAAGGTTTGTCTTTTAGAACAGTGTTTTCACGCAAATTGCATTTTGGCATATTTTTGAAAATGATCTATTCCATTCTCTGCTTCATTACAGTAGTTGCATGTTCAATAATATGAGAGGATAGGCTTGCTATTGTCGCCAGTTTTTTAAGCTCTTAATGAAAAATGTCTGTTCCTTCCATGCATAGTATTTTCTGTTGGTCAAGTCATTTTACTGATTGGAATGGATTTAACCGTTTGCTAACCGGTTAATGGGGGTTGGTTTGTCTGCAATAAAATGGACATCCCTTACCTTTCTCTGGATGGACATGGTGGCTATGTTCTGTAACACAATGTACTGCACCTCTCTAAGAGGGAGAGAGAGGAAACATTAAGGGCATTGTAAGTCCTCAGGAAAAAATGAGAGGAGAGAGAGAGCGATTACCTGTGGCTTCTGAGCAGTCTGACCAGCGATTTGGTGACGATGCTGACCTCGTTTTTAGGAGCCAGGTGCCAGTACAGCTGGGCTACAGACATCACCACCTGACAGACAGAGGACAACAGACATCAACAGACACATCCAACAAGGCCGGTTAGCAACACCTCAAATACAGACAGTGTTTCTCAACTCCAGTCATGCTGTACCCACTCTTTATATTTAGGATGAGTCTCTCTCTCTTCATTCAGGACACAAAGCTCTTTAAAGCTCCATATATCAAACAGCAAAGTAAGTAAAGTGCCATGTGTTTTTAAGGCGAGACATGTCATTTAGAAGGTAACAGATAGCCAGAGTAAGGACTGAGGAGTCACATTTGGAAGAAGTGACGGTAAGTGTCGGTAAGATGGAGGGCCGCAGTGTGCTTTCTCTGGTAAAGACATAACATGTCACATTGTAATCAACATGCTCATTTGGGACCATTTTTCCTCCTGCTGCTACACTGCCACACAGACCTTGAGTCTCCTGGGTGATGGAGATCTGCTCACAATGTGTGTGTTACACTGAGTGTGTGTGTGTGTGTGTAGCAGCGGCAGAATCAGTGGTGGCACGGCGTAGCCTTGGTTCCAGAGACAGCAGTGAGGAAGGAGTGAGAACTGAACCACACGCTCAGACGCCTTCCTCAAGGCTGCCTATATCCCTCACAGCAGGTTGAAGAGCAGACACACACACACACACACACCACTTACTGCTGTGTATGTGTATATTTCTATGTGTGTGTGTTTATACAACTGTGTGTATGTGTGTGTGTGTTAGACTCACAGCAGTGTTTCTGCTCTGTAGTAGAGGCTTGGTGTTCCTGAGCAGCAGTCTGTGATCGGGGTCCATCACGTAGGCCTTGGCCTCTGTCTCATCTCTAGTCTTCTCCTCATCAGACTCATAGAACGCCCTCACACTGTGCTCATCAAACACACTGTCCTGAAACACACACACATTACACATTTCATTTCACTCTGTTATTCACAGCACACACATTCACTTTCACTGTGAAACACAGCACACGCACAAACACCATAAATGTAAATCTAATAGCACATCACCGACATTTGTATTTATTTTATTTCACCTTTATTTAACCAGGTAAGCCAGTTGAGAACAAGTTCTCATTTACAACTGCGACCTGGCCAAGATGCAAAGCAGTGCGATAAAAACAACAACACAGAGTTACATATGGAATAAACAAAAACGTACAGCCAATAACACAATACAAAATCTATATACAGTGTGTGCAAATGTAGTAAGTTATGGAGGTAAGGCAATAAATAGGCCATAGTGCAAAAGAATTACAATTTAGTATTAACACTGGAGTCATAGATGTGCAGAAGATGATGTGCAAATAGAGATAATGGGGTGCAAATGAGCAAAATAAATAACAATGTAAATAACAATATGGGGATGAGGTAGTTGGGTGGGATAATTACAGATGGGTTGTGTACAGGTGCAGTGTTCGGTAAGCTGCTCTGACAAAAGATGCTTAAAAAGTAAATGAGGGAGATAAGTGTCTCCAGCTTCAGAGATTTTTGTAGTTCGTACATATTTACCACCAGGTGTCAACTCATCATATTCAAAGCCAGATGCACACGCACATCTAGAGGTTGCTTGAAGGTGAGTTGGAGATGTGCAACAACAGTTAAAATGTAAAGAAACTTCAAACACTGTGCTCGCAAAATATAACTTGTTTTTTACTGTGCTAATTGCTCATTTTTAGCCTTTCGACCTTCGTAAAGTTATGACAATAAACAACAGCTACTGAGGCCACATTTTGTGTAGGGGGTTTCTTTTCAAATCCTCATGTTCACACAATAACTGGCAAGCTGGGTGAAAAAGAACAATATAGCCCTACTATATACATTACCACATACATTACCAAGACATACTTACTGACACACATGTCTCCCAGTACAAATGTCTCTGTAGCTTTGGGATTTATTTACTGTAGGTTATATTTGACTCATCATACAAATGATTGTCTTATTACTTTAGTGATGATGATGTCTATTGGTCCGTTACCCAAGACATTTCCTGGTTGGCTTTAAAGAGACATTCAATACATTACTTAAAAGGGGAAATCTGCAGTTGCTACATCAATTTTTGGACTTAATTATTTGTACCCATTGATTCTTGAAGAATATAACTTATGAATGCCTCATGAGCTTAGTTCAACTGTCGTACTCCATCAGAACCCAAAATATAAGCTTGCTTTACTCCAATATTTGTAAACAAAGTAAATGTAAACAAAAACTATAATTTTGATATCATGGAATCTTTGCATCCATAGCGGTCTATGAATTTGAGAGTGGTTACATTTCTCCTGCCCCATCTCTCAGCTTTTTACAGAAACAGGGACACCGCTTTGTTATTGTTTTAACTGCTGAGTGCCACTTTAAATGATCACACCATACTATATCTCACACTGTTCTTGTACAATCTTATAAACCATGTTTCCCCTTCCCTCCATCCCTCACCTCTTTCCAGAGGCTGGTGAACTGTGTCCTGGCGTAGCGTGTCAACATGGAGACGATGACCACCTGACCCCACTCCTCCCTCCCCTTCCCTCCATCCCTCACCTCTTTCCAGGGGCTGGTGAACTGTGTCCTGGCGTAGCGTGTCAACATGGAGACGATGACCACCTGACCCCACTCCTCCCTCCCCTTCCCTCCATCCCTCACCTCTTTCCAGGGGCTGGTGAACTGTGTCCTGGCGTAGCGTGTCAACATGGAGATGATGACCACCTGACCCCACTCCTCCACGTCAACCAGCAGGTTGCAGAGTTTACGGTAGTTCTTATGGATCAGGTCAATACGGTCCGGACACACCTCCTCAAAGGCCATCACAACGCTGCCCGCTACCAACTAGAGGAGAGGAGGAGAGAGAGGTATGTTACTGTAGGGCTGGAGCAAAAGCCTCAGTAACTCCAGAATCGGCGTTGGAGACCCATGCTCTAGCCTGGGCACATCATAAGCCACCTTGGTTAGAAAGACTGTACTTTATGATCTAACATAAACAATTAGGATGAACAGTTACCCCACCCCCCCCAAAAAATAAAATAATAATAATAATAATAATTGTAAAGTGGTTATCCCACTGGCTATAAGGTGAATGCACCAATTTGTAAGTCGCTCTGGATAAGAGCGTCTGCTAAATGACGTAAATGTAAATGTAAATAATAAACAAAAACTCAGGCACCACACAGGAAAGGAATAACTGGGTCGAAAACTACAGCATTTTTAGTCTTCACTAAACTAACTTCTCATCGCCATGGTAAAATAAATCCATCACTCACATATAACACATACAAAACATTTCTCATTTTTTCCCACATAGAATATTTTATTTTTATTTCCGCTCATAACTAATTTCATGTTCTATTCATGAGACAAGAGAAAGGGGGAAGCAGGAGGATGGAGGAAGATAGGGAGGGGAGGGGGGCAATCAAGTACATTTTATTGGGAGAAAAAAATCCATTTGTCTGGTCCATGTTCATCCCTATAGTGCTGCTGGCTGGCTGACTGATTGACATGGCTGTGTATTAATATGCAAACAGCACTAACACAGAGAGGCGAGGGGGAGAAGGAAGGAGAGGGGGGGCGGAATTCGGTCTCTCCCATTACAACAGATGGGCCCTTGGTGGCCACTGTGGAAACCCTGTACATTTACCCATCAGCCTCGCCATGCAGCTGCATTGATTGTGTATGTGTGTGTGTGTGTGTGTGTGTGTGTGTGTGTGTGTGTGTGTGTGTTTGAGGCCCTCTTACAACTGGGGAGCTGGGAACCAAAGTGTTAATCATTCAAAGATCTGGACAGCTTTAGGGAGTAGGCTGCTACATGACTTGTAAAACTTTATACAATGGGTGTGTCTAATCCTGGACGCTGATTGGTTAAAACCGCATTCCAGCCGGTGTCTATGCCACAAGTTACCACCGGCTAAAGCTATGACGTTGAAATGCCTATTTACTCTGTTCCATGTCACTGCGCAATCCACCGTCTCATCAGCCCAGCCAGACAATTTATAAACTTGATCTTCACTGTAAAAAGCATGTAGATATTATTTCCCATTTCCTTTAGACTAGCAATTGATTTTCAATAGGGGAGATTTGTATAAACCTTGCTGTCTGTCTCTCTGACATTGACAACATTGTTTCAATATTGAAATTCGATCTCCAGCTGTCCCATAGTAATGAATGTTAAGGGGTCGTGAGTCAGGAAGAGACAGACATGCAGGCAGCTTTTCTCAGCCAGTCAAAATCATGAATCAGCATCATTTTTATGGATATATACAAACGAATTTCAATAGAAAACAGTTAAAACGAAACAAAATGCAGCTAGTTTACAGTTTTTCCAGCTTCAGTTTGAAGTGGTTGTGTTAGCTGTGTTGTTGTCTTGCTCCTCTGAACAACAGTGCCCTGATGAGAGAAACAAAACATTTGCCATGGGAAATCACACATCATTAGCTCATTGATATGGATGTCTCCAAATAAATGTCACTAGAAAACAGCTTAAACAAATGCAAATGCAGCTACTTTGCTGTTATTCTGGTTGCACTGGTTGACGTGACTTTAAGTTAGCCGTAGTTGGCTGGTTAGCAAGCAAGGGATAAGAACATTTAGAACGAACGACTGGGTCACGTCTCTGGCAACCGAACTGACAGAATGAACGACCAGCCAGCCGACTTGGCTAGCAACCCAAGATTTGTGTCGGGACTACATCTCGTTGAAGGATTAAATAGTATTAAAAAATTCGTACAAATAAAGTTTTTAATCATCATTATTTGAATATGTTGGTAACCTTTTGTATAAAAGTGATAATGCCCTTGAAGCCGGTGTTTGGATGTATTGGCACAGGTGTTCCACTATATCCTCCAAACACCGGCTTCGAGGGCATTATAACTTAAATAGAAAGGTGTGGGAGGTAAAATGCGTGTTTGGGAGTAGCCTAACTTTGCAACCACAAGTACGTTTTTCAACCAAAAACAAGCCGTTGTGTACTAAACCACCATATGGACGAAACAAATCAAAACAGAGGCAAGGAACGTAACATTGTTTAAGCACTCAGTTTAGCAAGCAATTAGTAAACCCACAGGCAAGAAGAAAACTCATAAGCTTAACTTGAGCTTGTGGTTTATAATTGGAAAGCGGCCTAATTGGGTTTAATTGTTATGCACAGTGTGCTTGGTCTCAGAACTAACAGATACTGGATGTAAAGTTCCAACTCTGCAAACTTCATCTACTTTAGAGACCTCATGTTGGAGTACAGTACTGACAGTACTTGAACAGGAACTTTGCGAGTGTAAGTGAGAGTGGGTTTACGTGTGTGTATCAGTGGATACACTGATGTTCCTAGTATCTCAGGCCTGTTGTGCTCCCTCCCCCTCTCAACTTCCCCCATTAGACGCAGCTCCAAGGTAAACTACATGCACCATCAACAAAACTGACACCCCAATCTATGGAGTTTGCACCCATCCATCCCTCCCTCCTCCACCTCCAACATATTATCTACACTGCGTGACAAGCCAGTAATGGAAAAATCACACTAAGCAAATGGTTCCTCTAATAACAATACATTTCCTATAAAATTATGAAGGGCCCAAACCGTTTCCTTGCATCTATTTTATCATGAATTCTAATTAGGGCACCAGGGAGGCGGCGAGTGCTGGGTCATCACACCAGAGACGACGCCTTGATTGATGGCATGGTGCAGGGTAGGTCGGCCTACCCTCCTTGCATTCTCTCCCTCTCCTCTCTTCCATCTCCTCCCTCCCTTTTTCTCTTAAATTAATGGGTATCCCACCTAGCCCCTAATCATACCACACACACACCCCTCCCTCCTCTCTGTTCTCATTTCAATTTTGCAGGAGGTGCAGGGGGAGGTGCGGGGGTGTGGGATGGGAGGGATCGATCATTTATCTTGTAATGGCTGGATAATAGATCCATCACAGTAAAACAGCTGCACAACCTCCTGTGTTGTTTCTCTCTCAACAGCCCTTCTCTTCCCATTCTCTGTTTATACCGTCCCCTCTTTAACCAGGGGTGTCACACACATTTAGCCTAAACAGGCCATCACTGTTCGGACCAATGTCAGGAAGGCCACTTATTGGCTGAAGAACTAAATGGATATTATATTTTTACACCTTTACATATTTATGCTACTTACATCAAAATACCCCATTGCCTTAACAGCATAACTAGGAATTCACTGCTTTTTTTATTTTTATTAACATTTTCGCAACACCCAATCATCTAGAATAATCAAGGCTTGTTTTAGAGTACAAGTTGGGGATGGATGGTAGGCCCCAAACGGCTACCGAGCCGCATGTCTGTCACCTCAGCTTTATTCATTGCCTCATTAACCTAATCACATCATGTAAAGGAGTCTATCTAGTTATGGCAGATCTGAAATTCTAAATTTGAACGTGAAGGGAAATATCAGCTTAGGCTCTAGGGGAAAACTGCTTAGTCTGCAAAGTGCATTTTGTGACACATACATCAAATGCACTTGAAATACTGCTGTGGGATCAACAGTCATAAAGCAGGTAATGTAAGACGTATGTAAAATACATCCAGAAGTGGTTCTTATGATACTCCTAAAAGTGAGTAAATCCAAATAGGCCTACACTTTGAATGAGAGACCAAATACAATACAATAGATCCCTGACAAAAAACAAAGAGCTAAAACCGACAATAAATATGGTATAAAAGCTCTCTGAAATTCTTATAACAATAATAACACAAAAATACCCCTGAAAATACATGAGCATTCCTCTCTTTTTCAACACAGCGCTAGCACTTGTGTGACTGTGCCCTCTATCTCTCTCTGTCCCCCAGCCAGCCTCAGTGAGAGTGTGTTACAATGAGGAGAAATCATCTATCTTCGTTAGTGACTGAAGCCAAATATGCTCTGCATCTGGTCCTGGGCCCTCCAGCCCCCACTGGCCTTAGTGCTACGGGTTTGTTTATATAATGAGAAATGTATGCAATGAATACATAATTGAGAGAGGGAGAGCGTGTATGGCTTGTATGTGGCCCTCTGTAGCTCAGTTGGTAGAGCATGGTGCTTACAATGCCAGTATAGTGGGTTCAATTCCTGGGACCACCCATATGTAAAAAATGTATGCCTGCATGACTAAGTCACTTTGGATAAAAGTGTCTGATAAAAAAATAAAAATTTACAGGGCATTCTATATGCTAACTTCAGCACGTACACAATTTACATTTATTTAAACAGCCTTTATAAGAGCATTTAGCTATGTATTTATGATGACTTTCTAAAGCGTACGCAATATCTATTATCCTAATAGGGGAAGGAGATGCTGTATTTGTGATGGGCTGGGCTGCTTTAAACACTGGAGTTGGAGAATGCCTTCAGGCTAATCTAGAAAAAAGAACTTGGCCGTAGAAAGCAAATTAAGGTGACACCAGCATCAGTGGGAAAATGCCTTTCTAAATGGACAGTTAACTGGGAGCATCTAAGGATGTGGGTTTAAGTGGGTGCTAACAAAGCATGGCATTGGTGAATGAGCTAAGCTGAGGGGAGAGGGAGAGAGGGCTAATGATAGGGGGAACTGTTCTGTTGGACTGGAGCACCCTCTGGTGGCTGGATGGGATTACTGCACCTAGTGGTAGTAGTGACATCATGGATTTGGTTTGAATTAATTAATTAAGAGAGAGGGACTGACTGTTGAACCGATATGATATCAAATAGATGACACCCCCTCTGATTTCAGACTGAATACAATCTATTTAATCCATGCTTATTGCAATGCTGCTTTGTTCATTGCATGCAGGTTTTTGTGTATGGAGACGATGTTAATATTGGCCGCTATCTTCGTTTTAGCCTTAAAATACATTTTAGTCGGCCTCCCGAGTGGCGCAGTGGTCTAAGGCACTGCATCGCAGTGCTAGCTGTGCCACTAGAGATCCTGATTCGAGTCCAGGCTCGCGGCGGGAGTCACAGCCGGCCGCGACCGGGAGACCCATGGGCGGCACACAATTGGCCCAGCGTCGTCCAGGGTAGGGGAGGGTTTGGCCGGCAGGGATGTTCTTGTCCCATCGCACACTAGCGACTCCTGTGGCGGGCCGGGCGCAGTGCACGCTGACTCGGTCGCCAGGTGTACAGTGTTTCCTCCGGCACATTGGTGCGGCTGGCTTCCGTATTAAGCGGGCACTGTGTCAAGAAGCAGTGCGGCTCGGTTGAGTTGTGTTTCGGGGAGGACGCACAACTCTCGACCTTCGCCTCTCCCATGTCCGTACGGGAGTTGCAGCGATGGGACAAGACTGTAACTACCAATTGGATACCACGAAATTGTGGAGAAAAAGGGGGTAAAATACCAAAAAATACATTTTAGTCTTAGTCACATTTTAGTCATTTCATCCTTGTTATTTTTAGTTATTATCAGTCGACTAAAACTCTGGAAAACTTTTGTCTAGTTTTAGTCACATAATAGTCAGTGCATTTTTCCCCATAAATAATGAATATGCAGGCTACCTGTAACTTCCATCATGTGCCCATTCAGATAGCCTTGTCCAGCTAGGCCTACTATCACCTCCTATACCGTAGCTGGCAACATTGATATTGTGGCAGATTGCAGCCATTATGAACAATATAGGCCATAAAATCCTTGGCTACAGGTTAAACAATTTACAGCTCTGATTTTCTCCCCATCATAACCGTCAAGGGGGGTAAATAAGAGTGGGAGAATTTGAGCTTTACAAAAATGCCAGAAGTATTACTGTACTCCTAATATTAAACAAATAGCATTTGTTTTTCCCCATTGGAAAAAAGCAACCCCAACTCACATTAATGGACCATGGCACAGATGAATGAATAACAAGGCACATGGGAAAATAGAGCTTCTGATGTGATCAAAGCAAAAATACCTTACATGAAAGTAAGAGAGAGTAAACATTCTCGTCTCGTCACATTTTTGTCAGGAAAAATAGGTAGTTGACAGTATTTTACATCATAGTTATTGTTGACGAAATTAACACTGTATGGAGAGTATGCCGTCTTCTGAGGTCTTGTAAGAGGTCTCCTGTGGACAATTGTATATTTACATTTTACATTTTAGTCATTTAGCAGATGCTCTTATCCAGAGCGACTTACAGTTAGTGAGTGCATACAATTTTATTTCTTTTCAACAACAAAAAAAATCATACTGGCCCCCCGTGGGAATCAAACCCACAACCCTGGCGTTGCAAGCGCCATGCTCTACCAACTGAGCTACACGGGCCTGGTGAACTGGTACGGTAAACTGGTTCTACTCACTGTGCTTTTGTCCTTCAGCAGTTTCTCAATGACTTCAATCAGGTGCTCCTTCTGATCCGGGTCCAGGCTGAGGAGGAGGAGGAAAGCTTTGATACAACTCCAAGTTCCAAACACACACACACACACACACACACACACACACACACAGAAAAACACCCACACGTGCACAAACACACCCACCCACACACTACCTGTAGAGTTTCTGGATGGCGTGGGCGGATGTTTTCCTGACGTAAGGGGACATGTCGGAGGCAGCCTCCTTGATGGCCAGCATCATGATGGGAACGATGATGAGGACTCTGATACTGGACAGAACCCTCAGAGCACTGGCTCTGATCAGCTGGTTAGGGTCCTGGCAGAGGCAGAGATAGTGGCTATTAGTATTATCCACAATCACAGATTCACGAGCACACACACAGAATCACACAAAGAACCATATGCAGACACGTTCACAGTACATAGACATAAAGATGTACACATTGAGACAGAGTGAGGAAAGTACAAGAGAAAGAAAGGAATGGAGACAGAAATCTCTCATGTGGTGTGAGATACTGAAGACATGATACAGCACTACACTAAAAATACATGATACACACACACACGCTGGTAGGAAGTGAAGCATGGAATAGAGCTAGCAGGGGTTGAAATCAGGGGTTGAAAGTCGTTTTCCAGCTCTGGGGCATGATGATGATGGGGTGGCCTCTAAAAAAAACACTGCTGTTGTCCCGTGACCTCACATAGAGACAGACAGACTCTCTTTAACGGCTCAATACTCCAACACAACACACACACCTTTATACACACACACCAAACATGATACTTTCTTCTAAGACCTGTATGAGTACAAGTGTGTGGGAATTCAAATGGTAAAACCCTCAGCATCAAAGCCTGCTGCGCGCACACACCCACACGTTACCTTGAGGGCCCTCTGAAAGGTGCTGATGGACAGTAGAGCCAGGTCCTGCTGCTCCTCGGCATACCTCACCAGATACACATACACTAGCTTCTTCAGCTGGAACACACACATACTTTGAATTAGTCATTGATACACCCTTTTTTTTGACAAATCCTAAGTCTATTCATTCGCTTTTGGGTTGAGCTCAGACAGTCCACATTACAGAATGTTTAGGTAACACTATTCTTTGACAGTGGAGAGAACAGTGCTTTGGCTAGACGTCAGATGTATGTCTTGGTTTGGTTGTTTTAAGGGGGGGAAAGCTGAGGTTGAAAGTTTTCCTGTTTGATATTATAACAGTCTAGATCCCATGTTGTTTCAGGAAGAGCAGAGCGTTAGAAAAAAAAAAGTTTGACTTCAGAAAGTTTCAGTAGCGTTATCGCTTCCTCCCTTCCTCCCTCCACACGTAGGAGACTGAGCTAATATTTGTCCAGTGTCCGACTGGGGGTTATAGGTTGGCCCTTTCATGATTCACTTCAGTGTTATTCGGTGTGTGTACGGGGAGGTTCAGCTGTAGTGAACCACAGTTTTCAATCATTGCAGTAATTAGTGGGTGAATTAACAGCATTACTGACTCTAAGAGGGGACATAACCTATCTGCCGTTGTTTGAGGGGAATCACATATCGACAACATCACAGAAAATAGATATGACTAGTAATACTAGCCCCTTTTTCCCCACTCACACACACCTTCCCCACTCACACACACACCTTCCCCACTCATACACACACCTTCCCCACTCATACACACACATACCTTCCCCACTCATACACACACACACACACACACACACACACACACACACACACACACACACATACCTTCCCCACTCATACATACACACACACCTTCCCCACTCATACATACACACACACACACCTTCCCCACTCATACATACACACACACCTTCCCCACTCATACATACATACATACACCTTCCCCACTCATACAGACACACATACCTTCCCCACTCATACACACACACACACACATACCTTCCCCACTCATACACACACACTCATACCTTCCCCACTCATACACACACACACATACCTTCCCCACTCATACACACACACACACATACCTTCCCCACTCATACACACACACACACATACCTTCCCCACTCATACACACACACATACCTTCCCCACTCATACACATACACACACACCTTCCCCACTCATACACACACACACACCTTCCCCACTCATACACACACACACACACCTTCCCCACTCATACACACACACACACCTTCCCCACTCATACACACACACTTTCCCCACTCATACACACACACCTTCCCCACTCATACACACACACCTTCCCCACTCATACACATACACCTTCCCCACTCATACACACACACCTCCAGGATGTCTAGTCTCAGGGTGTTGTTTCCAGCGCTGGTTGAAGAAAACAAAGCATCCTGATATTAAATCACATTATTCCTTCAATACTCTGTGTCCTGTGCTGCTTTCTGATTAGAGACAATCAATAACACACAGCACAGGCCTGCAGAGGAGAAAACAAGCGAGAGAGAGAGGGTGGGGTGGAAAGAGAGAGGTGAGGACAGACAGAGAGATGCAGAGCGGCCCAGAGATGGATCTAGCACCACCCTAGCAGCTGGTGTGTGTGAGGAGGGGGAGAGAGGACGTGACCATGGGCTCTCCTCTGCCAATTACCCCCACCAACCTGCTCCAGTTCCCTACCATGGGCTGTCCTGTCACACACACACACACACACACACAGCCCCTCGTACTGCCTGTTTATTCTCCTGATCAATATTACCAGGCGTGGGGAACTCATCTGGCCGGGCAGTGGTTCTGTAGTCTCATACTTGCAGTGGGGAGATGTCCTCCATCTTGTCTTAGATAGAGCTTTCTAAATGTTTTCAACCATGTTGTGCAAATAGAATGGATGCATGTGGATGATGCCATACCTCTGTATTCTTACTGGCCACATTCTTCACCACTGCTGGGAACAGCTCGGAGGCATTCTTCCCCTTAGCGATCAGCTGTAGACACAAAATGTTTCACCACAGTATTCCATTTGCTATTACATTGTACATATCATACTACAGCAATGTACTGCATCTATTTATACTTTTTTCAAAGGAGGAATGTTATTTTTTTTTACAGAAAATTAATTGAGATTATAAAACTGAAGTACACTTGAACTGAGTTTGCAGTGCACTTAACTGATGTGCACTTATCGGGCCTGGAATGTGTGTATAGGTTCTACTACTCACCCCAACAATCCTCTTCATGGCTTCCAGTTTAAGCGACTCCTTGTTGCTCTCCAGCATCTCTTTAAGGTCATCATTCCTGGAGGGGGAGGAAGAGATTAGAAAATGTACAGTATAATATTTCATATTATCACACTGCTTACTTGCATTGCAGATGCGCTTTTTTACACCAGACAACTCTCACTGATGTAGCCAGGAATTGATTCATGAATTTAATTAATTTAAGACTGGAAAACTGTGGTGCACAGAGAGTTTGACTTATTTCAAGTGCACTTTTTATATCAGCTGTATCATCTGTAAAAGGATGCAGCCTGACTTGATGGATCTCTATCTGTGTCCTTGGTGGGAGATGGGCCAAAGGTCCGCCTAGACCAAGACTAACACTGATCTATGGAGAGCATTATGTCCTGCATTAACTTTGCTCCTGCTATAAATTGATAGTCATGTGGGGAACCTCTCTGGAATTAGAGACATTTTCACGTAGCTTACAAATTCCAGTAGGAGAGCTATTCTAGTTCCATTCATACAATGTCAAATGGCTGCAAGAATAATATAGGGCCTCAGCTTCCCTACTTTATTTGGAAAGTCCTCTATAGATGGTCTACAGATCTGCTCAAACTATCAACAACACATTCAACAATTCATCCCCTTACTGTACCATCATACTCAACTGGATACATTCAAAATATCATAGCATTGCTATGGAAACATCTTCGACCAGTGAGCAAGCAGAATCTCACATGATGTTAACCCAGCCAGACCAACACAACCCTCACCCTTCCACAGAAGAATGTGCAACCACACAGCAGGTCATTGATTGTACAGCGAGAGAGACAGATTGACGGTTCTGGCCACTCAATGACAGAGGTACGGTTAGACAGAAAACAACATTTAAGAATATAATGTTGTGTTCAACAAGACCAGGCAGATGTTTCACATTGAACTGACTGCGTCACATATTGTTTTTATATGAAACATGAATGTGTTGGAAATTCAAGGAGGCGTACAGTATTATACAGAGCCATGAGTGCATGGAACTACCTTCCATCTTATATAGCACAAGTGAACAGCAAACCTGGTTTAAAAAAATAAAATAAAGCAACACCTCAGGGCACAACGTCTCTCCCCCATGTGACCTACTTGTTGTGTGTATGTACGGACATGTACGTGTAACTGACAGATGCACACACACACTACATGTTCATGTTTTTAAATGTATGTAAACTGTAAAGTCCTTTGTCTGTAATGTATTTTTCGTTATATGTCGGACCCCAGTAAGACTAGATGTCGCCATTGGCGTCGGTTAATGGGGATCCTAATAAATCAAAACAAATAAACCAAATTGAACAACATGAGGAGGGAGAGAGGGGGATGGGTAGAGAGAGAATTAAAAACACAAAACACAATTTAACCATATTGGGTGTTGTTACCAGGCGCAAAAAAAGCAATGTCAGGTCGTGAGTGACTCACGATAACGTCACAATCAACTAACACTAATCAGCTAGAGAGATCAGGAAACACTAGGCTATTTGGTCAACTTGAAGAGACACACAACACAAGCATGTGCCAAGACTCACACTTCTGTACAGTACCCTTTGGTGTGTGTCTCATCGGGGCCTCCGTTGGTGTGTGTGTGGGGTTTGAGGTGCTGCTCCTCCTGGCTGAGTTCAGTCTTTAAGGTGAGCTGGAGGTTCTCAGCAGACACCAGAGCTGTCCTCACAGCCCCCACTGCCTCAGAACGCAGCACAGAGAAACCCCGGTGACCGTTCATACTGCTACAGGCCCGTCTGTTGCTCTCCTCTCGTCTCTCTGTCAGTCTTCCTCGCTCTTTTTTCTCCACTTCTGTCAGTAGGTAAGAGGAGACACAGGATGCCCTTTCCGCTGGCTAAACCTCCGGCCCTCTCCCTGGCACAGACAGACAGACAGACACAGCTCCCCCTGGTCATCCAGTTATACTCTCTTCTGCTTTATTTCAGTCCCGTGAGTCCAGACGTTTCCTGCCTGTCATCTGGTTCTCTCTCTCTCTCTCTCTCTCTCTCATATCAGGCGACTAAACTATTGAGCACCATCTCCTTAGCTCGATGTCGATAGAGGGAGTTGCAAATTGAAGTTGCCCTCTTTGCTGACTACTAGTATGACTCAGTCTTCACTGCTTGAATCCAATCTGGAGACAGACAGCGGCTACTTCTTCCTTTTCTCCTCTTCTCTGGACGTACTTTAGTTCTCTGTCCGTGTCTGTGTGTAGCTGTAGGGTGGTAGTTCAGTTGGTTCTCTCTGCCGGAGTCGGTGCTTGTAGGGTGGTAGTTTAGTTCTCTGCGTCTCTGCCTGTGACTGTGGCCACTTCCCTCTAGGGGAAACGGGAGGGCCTTATCAGCCTCAGGGTAAACACTGAGCAGCTTTCACCACCTCTGTCCACAGCACAATACACCACTTTAGCCCCACGCCTGCCTTGAGACCTCCCAGGGAACTGCTGCCAGGGCTGGGCTAGATAAGGGCCCTGTCAGCCTCACACACTGCCAGGAGAACCACACAGAGTTAGGACAACACCCCAAAACTCTACATGTCGTTCTTCACATTTCAACCAGCTTAGTCTCTTTTCCTAGGTTTTTAAGACTGGGAAGCGAGTCTACAATCAACCAGCCCTGAGGAGGCTATGGTAATTCATTCACATAACGACCAGCAGGATAAAGCGCCGTAAACTGCTCCAATCAACTGGCTTATCAGCTGTCGGTATTTAGGCTACTATTGTCTGCCATTTCCTTTAATAACCAGCGTGATAATGTTGTCTGACATTTTGGCCCAGTTGATATAGGCTAGCCTAATGTCTGACTTCTCATTGAGGCCTGGACAATTCCACAGTAACAGAATTACGCTTTCACTCAGATTCTTCATTTTAAAATGTATGCCAAACAAAAACCATTGATTTCAAAGTTTAACAAACCATACAGCTCTATGCACAAGGACTACTTTGAACAATTTACATAGAACATATCACAAAAACACATTTGCTGGAAGAACTGCGCAGATGCAAAGTTTAGTAACAGAATTACAGTAAAATCTCCATTAGTTTTTTATGCTACCACGTTTTCCAAAAAAATCTTAAATATCTGCTCTGAATTATGATTCAAAGATGTCTGCAGAAAGAATGGGGTGTCAGTTATGACATGACACCTTGAGTTTGAACAAATGTATTTAGGTTATTGAATTACAGCAGGTGAAGTGGATTTACATTCGGTAACGGAATTACCGTTACCGAATATACTGTACTATTTCTGTATTATACAGAAATGCATAATTATGGATATGAATATCATTGTCTTCATGGTGATGTATTCTGAATAGGTATACAAAAGGTAGGAATTAGGGATGCAAATATTGGTCAATTTTGATGCCGACTAATCGTACATTATTTTACCGTATATATATTTTTCCAAACAGTCTAATGAGGTGACCGACAGAATGATTGCATATAAGGAATGGACAATTGTCATTAAGAGCTTAATGAAAACATGTAATAATAGCAAGCCTATCGTCTTACAGTCAAAAGGCTAAAGCCTATTATTGAACATGCAGCTGCTGTAATGAAGCAGCTAATAAAACTTCATTTTCAAACATTTGCCAAAAGGCAATAAAGAGGGGAAACAGCCGTTCTAAACAGCGCAACTAATGCCAGCAGTTCCATATGTGACAGAGATGAAAATCTTTTAGAAACTTAGAAAGATGGAGAATCTAATAGCAACAACTAGGATGGGTTGCTAATATGACTAGGAGTGTGCCTTTGGCTTCTGGACGACGAAAGAAAGTTGATATGAAAACCAATAGAACAGGAGAGAAATGCTGGTTAATGGCATGATGAAGTCTTTATAAAAAATAATTGCTAGGCTACTCTGAAGCAAGGTAAGACATGCCTCATTATTTGAAGTAAAGTAAAACATTCTGGTTTCAAACAATTATACTGCCTCAAGCTCACATTGTAAAGTAGTGGATGACGCGCTGATAGCCTGCCTAACATTGACTATAGCATGTGCATGGAACAGCCCCCGCGATATGCAACTTTTCAGGGAAGTCAGGACCCAATATACAAAATCAGTTAGGAAAGCAAAGCTAGCTTTTTCAAACAGAAATTTGCATCCTGTAGCACTAACTCCAAAAAGTTTTGGGACACTGTAAAGTCCATGGAAAATAAGAGCACCTCCTCCCAACTGCCCACTGCACTGAGGCTAGGAAACACTGTCACCACCGATAAATCTACAATAATCGAGAATTTCAACAAGCATTTTGCTACGGCTGGCCATGCTTTCTACCTGGCTACCACTACCCCGGCCACCAGCTCTGCACCCTCCGCTGCAACTTGCCCATGCCCCCCCCGCTTCTCCTTCACACAAATTCAGACAGCTGATGGTCTGAAAGAGCTGAAAATTCTGGACCCCTACAAATCAGCTGGGCTAGACAATCTGGACCCTTTCTTTCTAAAATTAGCCGCCGAAATTGTCGCAACCCCTATTTCTAGCCTGTTCAACCTCTCTTTCGTAACGTCTGAGATCCCCAGAGATTGGAAAGCTGCCGCGGTCATCCCCCTCTTCAAAGGGGGTGACACTCTAGATCCAAACTGTTACAGACCTATATCCATCCTGCCCTGCCTTTCGAAAGTATTTGAAAGGCAAGTTAACAAACAGATCACCGACCATTTCGAATCCCACCGTACCTTCTCCGCTATGCAATCCGGTTTCCGAGCTGGTCATGGGTGCACCTCAGCCACGCTCAAGGTCCTAAACAATATTATAACCGCAATCGATAAAAAACAGTACTGCGCAGCCGTCTTCATCGACCTGGCCAAGGCTTTCGACTCTGTCAACCACCGCATTCTTATTGGCAGACTAAATAGCCTTGGTTTCTCTAATGACTGCCTCACCAACTACTTCTCAGATAGAGTTCAATGTGTCAAATCGGAGGGCCTGTTGTCTGGACCTCTGGCCGTCTCTATGGGGGTGCCACAGGGTTCAATTCTCGGGCCGACTCTATTCTCTGTGTATATCAATGATGTTGCTCTTGCTGCTGGTGAAGCTCGGATCCACCTCTATGCGGACGACACCATTTTGTATACATCTGGCCCTTCATTGGACACTGTGTTAACAAACCTCCAAACAAGCTTCAACGCCATACAACACTCCTTCCGTAGCCTCCAACTGCTCTTAAACACCAGTAAAACTAAATGCATGCTCTTCAACCGAATGCTGCTTGCACCCGCCCACCCGACTAGAATCACTACTCTCTGCGGGTCTGACCTAGAGTATGTGGACAATTACAAATACCTAGGTGTCTGGTTAGACTGTAAACTCTCCTTCCAGACTCACATTAAGCATCTCCAATCAAAAGTTAGATCTAGAATCGGCTTCCTATTTTGCAACAAAGCCTTCTTCACTCATGCTGCTAAACATGCCCTCGTAAAACTGACTATCCTACTGATCCTTGACTTCGGCGATGTCATTTACAAAATAGCCTCCAACACTCTACTCAGCAAATTGGATGTAGTCTATCACAATGCCATCCGTTTTGTCATCAAAGCCCCATATACTACCCACCTGTACGCTCTTTTTGGCTGGCCCTCACTACATATTCGTCGCCAAACCCACTGGCTCCAGGTCATCTATAGATCACTGCTAGGCAAATCCCTGTCTTACCTTAGCTCACTGGTCACCATAGCAACACCCACCCGTAGTCTGCGCTCCAGCAGGTATATCTCACTGGTCATCCCCAAAGCCAACACCTCCTTTGGCCGCCATTCCTTCCAGTTCTCTGCTGCCAATGACAGGAACGAACTGCAAAAATCTCTGAAGCTGGAGACTCTTATCTCCCTCACTAACTTTAAGCGTCAGTTGTCAGAGCACCTTACCGATAACTGCACCTGTACACAGCCATTCTGAAATTAGCCCACCCAACTACCTCATCCCCATATTGTTATTTATTTTGCTAATTTGCACCCCAGTATCTCTATTTGCACATCATCTTTTGCACATCTATCATTCCAGTGTTAATACGAAATTGTAACTATTTTGCACTATGGCCTATTTATTGCCTTACCTCCATAACTTACTACATTCGCACACACTGTATCTATATTTTCTGTTTGTATTTTTGACATTGTTTTGTTTACCCCATATGTAACTCTGTGTTGTTGTTTTTATCGCACTGCTTTGCTTTATCTTTGCCAGGTCGCAGTTGTAAATGAGAACTTGTTCTCAACTGGCTTACCTGGTTAAATAAAGGTTAAATAAAAAAATTGCCTATGCACTCGATTGGCGAATGGGAGGCGCGCTTTAATTATGAGTTGAGATTGAGAAATAAAAATAGTAGCTTTTTAATCGTGGCCATCAAAACAGTTTTTAACACGTGATTGCATTTAGAATTGTTAATTGTTGCGCACTGACTGGGCTTATAAAAGCACGTTTCACTCCAGTAGCAGCTTTTTGAGGAGCTGATCTTGTGCCGTCTGACAGGTGATACTATTCCGCTCCTCAAACTCTGTATGTGGTGCGCGTGTGATAAATAAGATACAAATCAAGTGCACCTATAGGCCAACCGCTGGCCAATCAGATCACAGTGTCTACACAGTTTCCTCGAGCCATAGACTGTGAAAGAAGTCTTGAATGCACAGCAAAGTTGATACTGTGAGATTTCAAAACTTTTAAAACCATGACTAGAGAGACTCAACCAATACAGCAAAGAGCTACTGTTTTTATAAGTAAGTTCATGTTTAAGTTGTTATTCAGC